GATGTGTGAGAATATTTGCGAACAATTTTGGCTTTACAAGAAAAAAAATAGTTTTCAATTTAACTGATAATCACCGATCACATATATTCGTTTCGGCGTCACGTCATTTTCAGTGAAGAACCGATTAGTCTTTCTTTGTACAATTTAGGGTTTGCAAATCCAGCAGAAATATACTTATAGGATTGTACTTTAGAAACTCATGCCAGAATCGAATTGTCCACATTTGAAGAATTCCGTTTGCTGATACAACGTTTGTGAGGTGTGAAATGAAGTTCATTAATAAAAAAATAAAATAAAATAATAAAAATGAAACACAGTTCATAGTTGGCCAATCTGAACGCAGAATTGCGGCAAATAAAATATTATAACAAATTGTTGCTTAGTTGCAGAAATGATCGCAACGTTATTGTATAATTGCATGTCAGGTAGAACGAATTGGATGGGAAATGAATAGTTTTTACAATCAATAGATCTAAACACACGTAGGTGAAAGCGACGTAAAAACAAATTATGGAAAGTCTGCTATAAAGGGAACTGTTGATAAGATATAATCCTAATGCACATCGCTAAATGGGTTATACTACGTGAAATTATGTTTTGTACATTGTGGTAAGCCCAGTCGCCATAGCAAAATTGACCGATGTCCCTATCGAATAAATCTAGGTAATTATAAAATAAAAAAGAAACCTCATGACAATATTTAACAATAGAAGTGACGAATTGTAAAATGTAAGTCAACTTTTGGCAGTACCAACCGAACCGCCGACATGTTTCTGAACATGTGAAATGTCGTCTTAAGGCCTTGATGAACGATAGCTTGATCGTCTTCGATCATCTTGGTCCGCCTAGTCTCCCTGGTTTAGCCATTCAGGCATACTCCGACGTCTTCACACCGCTGACAAAATAGCACACTGAAATTGAAGAAAAGGAGCGCAAAACCAGCGAGAATAGGAGAGAGAGATGATCATAGACGACAAAGCTTTCTACCTTATAAGTAATTTTATCCAACAAAGCGTAATTTTGCCGTGGCTCACCCATCTTACAAAGCAAGCCAAATCATTGAAAACTGTTTTTATTTATACTCAATTAATAAATTGTCACAAGTTCGCAGACATAGTTTAAACTATTTTTAACAAAAATAGAATAAATTAGAGGAATATGTAAGAGAGAGAGAGAGTGTGAAGAATGAACGAATGAATAATGTTTTAGACCTATTGTTACCAACTTACCGACTTGAGAGAGATAGATAGTGAGAGATGGAAGGAGGGAAAAGGAGGGGAAGAGAGAGAGAGAGAGAGAGCGCGCATGAAATAAAGATAGTGAAAAAGAAAGAAAAAGACGAAAAACAGAGAGTCAAAGGGACGGATGGGAAGTGAGAGAGGCAGAAAAAAAATCAAAAAGTGAGACAAAATGAGAGGGACAGAATAAAGAAAGAAATGGGAGAGATCAAGAGAGAATAAGAAAGAGAAAAAATAAAGAGAGTGAGAGAAAAAGAAAGACAAGAGAAAGAGACTCGTGGAGGGGAAAGAGATAGAGCTGCAGAGATAGAAAGACTACGAAAAAGAGACAAAAACAGAAAGGAAAGGGAACGAGAGAGGGAGACTATAAAAAAGAATTGAAATAGAGATAGTGAAAAAGAAAGAAAAGGACGATAAATGGGAAGAGGCAAAGAGACGGAGGAGAACGAGAGTGAAAGAAGAAGGAAAAGAACGAAAGAGCGTCAGAAAATGAGAGGAACAGAAGAGAGAAAGAAAGAAAAAGGAAGACAGGAGAAAGAGACACATGGAGGGGAAAGAGAAAGAGTGACAGAGCAAGAAAGCGAACAATAGAGATATAAACAGACAGAGGGTATGAGAAACAGAGAGTGATTGGCAGAGAAAGAAAGAGAGCGAAAGACAGTCAGGTCAGAGGATAGAGGGAGAGAAAGAGAGAGAATAAGGGGCACACAAAAGAAAGAGATATGAGAGAGAAGCGAGAGAAAGATAACGAAAGTCAGAAGGAATGAGAGGCAGTCAATGGAGATAAAAAGTGCGAGAGAGAAAGAAAGAAGGACAATCAGACAGAGGTTTAACACGAGAGAGAACGAAAGAGACAGGAAAGAAAAAGAAAGGAAACGGGGGAAAGAGCGAGTGTGTGAGAGTGATAGTGGAGAGAAAACAGAAAGATGGGAAGAGAGAGAAAGAGAAGAAACAGAAAGGAAGCAAGAGCCGAGTGCGTGAGAGGCAGGAGATAGTGACAGAGAGTGAAAGTGAGAGAGAGAAATGCAAATGTCCACCTCAAAAATAAACTTAGATGATTGGGATTATACAATACGAACGAAGTTTTCCGTGAATTCAAAACAAATTATCAGACGTACGAAGAAGTAAGCTTTTTGATAGGATGAATCACCTAAACCGAATACTGAATTAACCAAGGCAAAATTATAAAATAAGTATTAATAATTTGTACCAATTCTTCTTTTTTCGAACAAACGATCCAAGAATGCAAAGGAAAGACGGAGAAACTATAAACAAAGTAAGATTGATATCGCACAATAGCTAATTCCCGTTTAAATCTATTAAAGAAATTAAACTATGTACATACTAATATTTTTAACCTTCTATCTTTTTGAATACGTAAAAGATTAACATTAGATTTTTATGACCGTGATTAATTAAACTTCAAACGAAAATTAAATAAATCGACTCAATGGTTGACCTTGATGTTGCATATGAGCAAGTGTTAGATGTATCGACCACTTTTTTACTCACGAATAATCTGGATCGTGGTATGGTCTTGATGAAAAAGCATATTCAATCCTTACAGCCTAGTTTTGACCTATTATAAAATAATCATCAGGGCAAAGCAATCATAAATATGTCTACAACTTGACATAGTTAAGTTTTCAATAGATGATTTCAAATTTCATTGAAGACCGACTCAGTCCCAACATCGCCAAAGACTGTGAAAACAGGCAGTACGAACAAAATTCGTGCACTGTGTGACAGCTCCGACCAAACTTATCATAATCAATCCCTAATGTTAAACATAGCGTTTTTTTCGCGACGTTAGGGTAGTATCGACATGCAAAAGCATAAAGGGTCTCATAATAACATGACGACCTATAAATACGTCAATAGACGTACGTCCATGCTATTGTTGTCCATTCTACCATAAAGATAATAAAACAAGATTTTTCGAGTTGGATTGCTCTTGAATATCCAATTTCCTGAGCATAATGAATACCAGCTTATAATTGCTTACCAATTTTTAAAAAATCAACAATTATAGCAACCGTCTCTCTTTTTCAACTTCTTCATACAGAAGCCATTCTTCTTGTACACCTAATATCTAACCGCAGTTTACATTCTCTCAGATTGTTTAAACAATACTATTTTCATAAAATTTATTATTTTAGCAATATTAGCATTGTATTCACATATTTTAAACTGCAAGAGTTTGATCTTTGATCAATCATAACCTGGATTTCATTTCCTTTCCTTACAATTTATAACATAAAAGCATAGATGTTTATCTTAGCCCTTCATATCTTCAGTCAGAGATTTGCGTTTTTCAATAAAATGCGATGTTTCACAAGGTTGTCTGCTGAGCTCTCTCTTGCTCTCCTTATACTAAATTTTCTTGTTCCGGCCAAAGAGAAAATCTTTAAACCAACATTGAACAAGTTTTATTATATATTTAGCAAAGTTGAAGGGAGGACTTTGAATGGTACCAAATAGAGAGTGAAATGCCACCTGATATGGGAATTACTCTTGAGCACGGCAGCGAGTATCTTGGTCCTCAGTTCCCATTCATGGAGGAAACAGCGTTGTTTTATTGTATATATATTGTATACATTTGTATATTGTGCTGATGTTGTTCTGCATCCTGATGTGTATTAAATGTGAATGTATTTATTAGCATTGTATTATTTATGTTTTGTTTTGTTATTTGTCTATTGTAAATTACAAATGCTGGAATTGATGGTGGACTGCAAAAAGTGATAGGCTCAACCCTGCACTCATTGATGTTCAAGCATTTATTGATGCATGTGTGTGCGTAGATTTGAGCTTATACAAATCAGTAATGCATACTGAAACGTTGAAACATACTGATAGTTCCAATAGAATAAAATTGCGGGGGAGGCGTCGGTGGCCGCAACGGTTTAGGCGTTGACACGGCGCTAATCACTGTAAGGTAAAGGTCCCGAGTTCGAATCCAGCGGCCCTGCATTCGAACCCGACATACTTACAAATGGGCTTTTTTTCAAAAACAACGGCACCCTGAGGGAGAAACCTCTGCTGTTTTGAACCCTCGTGTTAAAAAAAAAAAAAAATATTTTATTTTTATTTTACTTTATTTTTTTATATTATATATGTACGTATATGTGTATATGATTTTTTTTTATTAATGCTAATTTGCAAATCAGCTTAATATACATCATTTGTTTGTTGCATCTCTAGATGTTGGTACAAATTTCGTACAAATTAAAACAAAGTTTTTTTTTATTATAGAGAGGGTTCTTATATAAAATACCACATAAAAATTAAATACAAATAAAATTAAAATCTCAAGAATATCAGTTTGATCAACTTTAGTACTGTCTGTTTATGTATTTCGTATGTGTGCGCGCGACCGTCAATGGAACTGTTTTTAGTCTGTTCATCATGTATTTATGTCTTTTAAAATGCTAATATGTTTGGATGGTTTGAATGATAATTATTAAAATGATCAATTTAAAAATAAAATAATAATAAAAATATAATATTTTACAAATAAATAATTGGAATGAATGTATTTCTTAGCAAGAATGGAAGGGCTTATCCCCAATATTGAGGAATATCAAGTACTCTGGAGTAGCGTGTAGAAAATTTGGTGGGTGTCAATGTAATTTATTAGCGTGAATGGAGGGACTTATTATTAATTAAAAATTTAAAAAAAAAGAAAAAAAAGAGGGAGAGAGAAAAAAAGAATAAAATTATATTTCAATATAATATTTAATAAGATCTTAAAGCCTAATAGAAAAATTTATAGGCACAACTGCACATTGCCAGAGACTTCATGCAAATTATTTTCTAATTCAATAAATTTTAAATTTAATATATTAAATAGTTTGTAGCTACTACTACAGTACTCCACGAATGAAGAAGAAATCAACACTGAACCTCACAGTTTCACACCCTGATGGGTTTTGTACCCAGAATATTCATCCTCTCCTTGTACAGTTTGTAGTGGCTTTAGAACTGTAGTGTAGGTCCTCCAGTAGGCATGGTTATAACTCTATCCACCAAGACTACGACTTTTCAACCAGAAATTTGCAATTCAACTTTTTTTTTTTAATTTCTTCTCAATACCTCATGTGGATTGGTGTAAGGTAGGCCAACAAAAGACTCACCATACCGTCCCAGAGAAATAAATATTTGCTGGTTTCCCTGGGTACAAAAGCTGATCTGGCACTTTTCCGGAACCTTGCAGTCTTTCCATCATCGTTGAATGTCAACTGCACAGGAATGCTCCATGTTTAATGGTTTTTTGGTAGTCTCTACAATCACCTGGGTGGAGTAGCGACTATGCTGACCTTGGTGTTGTCCCTTCCAATTGAACGAAGACCTAAGAGTACTGTAGCTACCAAAACCTAGTCAATAAAGAATTAGTTTTCTATTCTATATGACCATACTTTTTTTTAATATAAACTATAACATTTGTTGTTGTAAAATAAGTAAGACATAAAGGTAAAGTAAAACATTGGTTGTAGATTTTATATTGTTAAGCAACTGGTTTGACATACAAACTTTTAAATTTAAAACTAGACATTGTATTGTATAATAAAATGAAATGTTATTTTAATGTTAAATTTTGTTTAAACAAGTGAGATAACTGTCGGCCGCATGACGAAAGTCATGCCACATTAAAGTTTCAAACATTTCCACAAATTTTGTAAATATAATTGAGACGTTGTTGATTGATGAAATTGCAGCTGAGAGGTTTGTGTGTTGAGAAGTGATATTCTTAAACTGTCCATAGACCCACTTGTCATTTCTGAGGGTGCAGGAGTTGTGTAGAAAAAGGGCTTCACATTTTAATTCTTTCATTTTATAAATCTCGATCGCCTTGTTGAAATCATTTTGGAAATCTTCGAATTGGTCTAGTATCTCTTTGCTCCTTGGGAAAATCGGGTCGATGATTTTATCCTTTAGCTGTACGTAATTCCAGGTTATTTTGTCATAAGAAGGTTTAAGGTAAGCGCACATTTTCAATCTCTGATCCATCCATTCCCCGCAAGTTTGATTTTCAAACAATTTAAAACATGATGTTTTATTTTTTCCTTTCACCCCTTCTATATTCAATTCTAAACTTTGTACGGATTTTTCTAAATTTTTCAAATTCTCTTCATTCATTTCATTAAATTTTTTGACTCTCTCTTTAACGTAGAGTAAATGAATTTTCGATTTGAAAATAAAGTCAGATAGTATATCTTTGTCAAAAGCAATTTCTTTCCTCATGGCATGGTCTCTATGTGTAAACATCTTAATACCGCAAAAATATCCCCACATCTGGAAAAGATTTGTGTTTTTCCAACTAACAATAAGACTTCAAAAAAATTATATTACATAATTATAGTAAAAGAGTGAAACAAACTTACCATTACTAATGAAGTCAGGAGCAAAAATAATAATAAACAAATGCTATTTAGTGCAACATAAAAGAGCTTCATTTCTTTAAGCTTGCGCTTGTCAGTATTCCCCTTAGACAACTGAGACTTTAAATTACCAAATTCACCCAAAGATTAAAAATTTATCATTTAACACTAATCCTCATTTGCCGAAATCATGTTTCAGCTGGAAATTCAATTACAAAGCTTATTTCATACAAGATATTGAGGTCAGAGTGATAATAAAAATATCTTCCGTGTTCTACTTGAATAAATGAGTTGTTCATTCACATTTATTTGTATATTGTTTAAATTATCAACATATAGAATTGATAAGGGTACAAATAAAAAAATCAATGTTTAAAATATGCACCTGTATTTAGACCATTCACTTCTGATAAATCAATATGAAACATTTCTAACTTTATAGAAGTAAACAAAGCTACAACAACAAGTAAACAAGTTATTACCTATTAGTTATTAAAGTAAATAAGCCTTGTAAAAAAAATTACAATACAAATTAAAAGGATATGCATTTTTGGTCTACAACAATGAAAAAAAAATTTTTTTTTTTTAAAGGGTTAAGACTGAATTAAGAAGTTTCAAAAATTACTAAGAGGAATTTGCAATCTGCATAGGTCAAGGAAGGGTAATTGAAATTTTATAATCAAATAAGATAAAAATACATTTCGCTTTATTACAGACACTAGAATCTGTAATTTGGTCATTAGTGATCATTTTGGTCTGCCCATGCTTGCAGGGTTAGTCTGTCAGACACGTTTCGACATTTCGCCATCTTCAGTTGTGAATTTGTGTCTTATTTTACATAGTAGCTTATCGCCAAAGAAAGTGAAATGCCACAAGATGTTTGAAAGACCAAAACAGACTTGATAAGCATACCAGGATGACCAAAAATTATAACTTGGTCGTTAGTGATCATGTTTGTTCTTTCCTTGATGGGTTGGTCTGCCACATCGGTTTTGGCATTTTGCTTTCTTCAGTTCTGAAAAGTGACAGGAAATATGTAAACTACAGGTCCATCGCAGTTGAAATCAGTTTTTTTTTCTTTCATTATTTCATTATACGTTATTTCATTCGTTATTGATGGTCTGCCTATGTTCACTGGGTTAATCTGTCAGAAGCATTTCAACATTTTGCCATCTTCAGTGGTGGGTTTTTGTCTCATTTTATACAGTAGCTTATCGCTGAAGAAGGTGAAATGCTAAAAATGTTTGACATAAAACAAATGGATAAGCATACCAATAATCAAAAATTTGAATTTAGACGTCACCAATCGATCATTTTTGTTGTCTTTGATGGGTTGGTCTGCCACATCGGTTTTGGCATTTTGCTTTCTTCAGTGCTGAAAAGTGACAGAAATATGTAAACTACAGGTTCATCACAGTTGAATTTTTTTTTTTTTTTTTTTTTTTTTTATTTAATCAGGTACACCAGTAGCAGAAGGTCTTACTTCAATTCGCTTGATTAGGCCCAAATCCAGATGTTATACTGCAGAAGTGGAAGGAGCTTGCTACTCAGGTGAGGACTGCTTCAGAAAAGGTGGTCAAGTGACAACCCCCTGCCTCAAAGATGGTATCTCCATCGTGAAGTCGCATCTTCACTGTTGTGCTTGTAAGTAGTGCTTTACACATCATTTGACACGTTTTTGTTAATGTATTACACCGTACAGTCATACACACGTGCGGAGATGTCTCATCGGAAAAAGTGACTTATTTCCGCTCGCCAGACTATCCGAGCAAATCCACAGGTTCGCTCGCTTGCGATTATGACCTCATAGTGCAAAGCACAACTTGCGCGATAAGGTAAGAAAACCAATATGTAAAGCCGATTTTTAGAAAATTTGAAATAATAATTTTCAGGGTTGATTATTTAAAAGTGAACTTGGCAAGGAAATTAGGAGGGGTATGCGATATAGATCAGTTATTTATTCTCAATTCTGTAGACGGACCGACCGCAGGCCAATGCGGCCCTCTTTCCGGCTACTCGAGTGAGTTCAATAAAAATCAACGTAAAATGAATAAAAGAATGGATTTTTTTTTTTTAAGCGACTGTGGCTGTAAATCCTGGCCAATCAAACCCCGTGAAAATAGCACTGCTTATCCAAAATGAAGGGACTTACCACTGGGATATCAAAGTCACCCAACTGGCGTGCAATCAAGTCAAACACTTTAGAAGTACGTATCAAATACCTGGAGGTTTATCAGTTTAACAGTGAACGTCGTAGCTTAGGAAATTATCTAGCTTAATCTTTTTATGTACTTTTTTATATATGATGATATGTTTTTGGACAATATTTAGTTGTTATATATATACATTTATTTAAATTGTGTGGTCATTTTTAATGGTATGCATGTTTCCTCTTGAGGTCTGCGGGGTGATGAATCTGTAGTTCTGGTCATTTCCGATCATTTTGGTCTGCCTATCATCACTGTTTTGGTCTGTCATATGCACTTTGAGATTTCAGGAAGCTGATAGGCTAAAACCTAGAGGGATTTGAAGGCCAAAATGATCAGAAATGACCAACCTAGATTTAATGTTTAAGAAATTATCCAGATATTATTTTTTAAACGATTTTCCAGGGCCAAAATTGTGTGGGGAAGTGAAAAACGAGATTTTATCTGGAGTAGCCAGTTCACACGGTTTGGACTGGTATTTTAACGATAACAACGTCTGGAAGAAGCCCAACATACCTCAGCATACTTGGTGGTCGTATCCAGAGCCGATTTTTAACACTTTTTATTATGGTAGAACTCACAAGCCCTAGTAAAGGTCAATATAATGATTTTTTTTCCATTTTTATTAGGTTCTACAAAACGTTATATGGAACAGGAAAACCAAGGAAAATTTGCGAAAAGAAGAATTGTTTCAGGGTCTGATGCTCATGTAGGTGAATTTCCTTGGGTGGTTGCCATTGGACTCGATCAAATGTTTTTTTGCGGAGGAGCCCTTATTACCGACAGCTTAGTGCTTACTGCCGCTCACTGCTTGATGGCGTAAGCTGATTTTTGATTTTAAAACTTCATCGTTTTCAATGTCTTATTTTTAGGCGCGACACGCCAATAGGGTCACTCGTACTGCATTTAGGCGATTTAGACCTGACAAGCCCTAATGAAACAAACCACGTGCTCAGAGGAGTGAGCAAGGTCATGTTCCACTCACACTTTCATCCTTTTCTTCTTGCAAATGACATCGCCCTTCTGAGACTCGACCAGCCTGTTGCATTCACAGACACAATTCAGCCCGTCTGCCTTCCCGGGCCAAGTAATTTCAATTATATTTGACTTATTTATGTGCGTGTGAAGAAGTGCTTTCTCTCTTGTTCCATCAATGGTCTTTCAGGGGACGTATTCACAGGGCAAAAAGGAACAGTCGTAGGATGGGGAGTAACTTCGTTTCCGATGGGAGAACCGAGCCCAATACTGCAAAAATTGGATGTTGAAACCATGTCAAACTTCCAGTGCTCTAGAATGATAGACGAGCCTGTTACGCTAGGAATGATCTGTGCAGCCCCGAGTAATCTACAAGGAACGTGTTTTGTAAGTTTCTCAAATTCATCTTAGGTATTGTGTGTATTTATAATGATTTTATTTAGGGGGACAGCGGTGGTCCTCTGACTGTCTTGAGTAAATCAGGCCGATACATTCTGATCGGTGTTGTGAGCTTCGGAGTAACCGGCTGTGCAGTCATGCCAGCCTTTCCAGACCTCTACACACGAGTTAGTGAATATCTTAAATGGATTGATGTCAACGCTATCTAAATAGTGAAATAAATTATTTTCTAACATTAAATTTTTTTAAAAAATAACATTTATTTTTCTAGTCCTATTTGAAATGTTTTTCTTAAATGACCTTCCTCCCTGATTCTTCTAACTTTTTATATCCAAATGTGGTTTGGAGGCAAGTTTGTACAAATAAGCTTAAAACCCCCTTAAATGTACATATCTTATAAAAATAAAATTTAGTTTTACAAACAAAGTAAAATAATATGTAATTAGTAATAAAAAAAGTTTTCAACTAGTAATAATCATATCTCAGAAGAACTTCATTGATTATGGTATTGTCACCGTGCAAGTTTAAAATCATCAGGGAACCTGGACACTTTGGGCTAGTTGGGTAAAAATGTGTAGATGACACTCGGTGATGCTTTACAAGCTGTAAATATAAGCACTTTGTAGTCCAAGAGCATAACTGAAATGGCCCGCCGAAGGTCTGAAATGCAAGGATAGGCCATTCGTGATTGACCCACAGATACCTGCTTTTGGGACTAACCTCATGCAGGTATCAAGTTTTAAAGAACACACTGAAAAACCTTTCCTTCAGGACATCACAGAAACTATCGGCAAAAACTATTAAATCTAGGATGTGTTGAATCAGGGCCATGTCTGACTGATAACAACAAAATCACCTATGTCTGAGTACCAGAGCACAAAGGACAACAAAGAAGCCGATAAATTGAGAATTAAAGATAAAGTGGCCAAGGACACCTATTGGTCCTGATCCCTTTTGCAACCAAACTGCCAAAAACGTATATTCATCAGACAATGGATTAAGAATAAGTCCTCGGTTCAATGGGGTTGTATTCTAGGACAGAGGCTTGATAAATTTTTTTTTGTTAAAGTACCATCGCAGAAACTATCTACTAAACCCAGGTGGACGTTGTCTGGACATGGTGTACTCTAGAGGCATTAGTAGATACAATACATATTATACATAACAATAGATATTGCCAGGAAGAATAATAAGTATATGCCATAAGGATACACATCCATAAGGAAATTCTTAAAAACACACCGGGATCTGATAAAAAGCCTAAAAAAAGACCACTATTGAATAATGGAGAGTGCGCAACAGGACAATATGGTTGTAGTGATAAGGTCATAAAAAGGAAAATTAATTTGGCATCTAGTTTCATCACATTATGACAAAATTAACAATATGGGGGTCGGTGGTCACAACGGTTTAGGCATTGACACAGCACTCATGGAAAAGGTTCCAGGTTCGAATTCAGCAGCCCTGCATTTGAACCCGACAACAAAAACAAATGGTTTTTGTTTTTTTCAAAAACACCAACACCCGAGAGTTGATACGACCTCTACTGTTGCAAATCCTTGCTAAAAATAAAGTAATTAACAGAAAAAAGGTGTCAACTACATCACGTGAATGAAATAATCAATAGAAGGATAATATAAAAAAATTAATTAAAAAAACACATAATTTATTATGGTTAATTTTTCTTATACAAACATGTTCCATTAATGTTTTAAATAAAGTTATTGATAACAATCACAGACTTTTTTTGTTAAACGCAGTAATTAGACACAAAACAGAACACCAAAATAAATATTAAAAATACGTAGTTAAAATCTAAGTAGTAAAAGAGTTTAAAAAAATTAAGTAGAAAAACAAATACACTAAGCAATATTGATAAAATAGTCATATTTCATTTGTTCTCACACCACTAGGCCAAAGCGAGCAGGTTGAATTTCAAAAACCAGTCACTATTAAAGCACCCAGTATTAAAGCCACAAAACTAAGCTTATTTTGAACACGGACCCGTGAAAATTTGAAAATCGGCGCTAGAAGGGTGCCAAAGAAAAAAACTTTTTTCTCAGCATAGATAAAACCCGTTTGACAAAAATCCGTTTAAAAAAAATAAAATGAAGGACAGAGTTCAATATTTCTTTGGTGATGAGGACGGACATCGGAGAACAAATCGGTTGAAAAGTTCAAACACATTAGTCTTAAAAGAAAAGTATCAAACATCTGAAATTTCGCCTAATTCTATTTCAAAATAATTACCAATAATTTAAATTCTAATACATACAATTTTACATTTTGATGAATGCATTATATAAGATTTTTTCTCTCGCTTTTTGTTTTCAATTCATCGACGATTAAAATAATTAATATTGACAATTTTTTTAAATATAAATACACTTATTAATGTATTTACCAATACTATGAGTAATTTTTTTCTCATCAAATTCCCTTTGTGTGTTCACACAATGTAAAAACTGAGGCTAATTTCTTGAATACATCGGTTCGGCCCTGATTTCACAAATACAATTATTATTATAAGAAATAATTTATATAAAAATGTATAAAAGTTATACAAAATAATACTGTCTAGTTAAGGCACTTGAATTTTAAAAATGAAACTTATTCTAAAAGAGTTATGTCTCAGCTGGAAGGAGAGGCGTTTTGTTAAGGACACTATTATCGGCGAGTATTGTAATTGAAAGATTTTTATCCGGCCAAGAAAACGTCTTGGGGAAGATTACCTGTAACATTTATACAATAATAAAATTGACAATTTTAATGACTTGTTTTGACTTACGTGCTCTGAAGATAAAGGTTTCAGGTCATCAAGCATTCTATCGACAAGGTCCGCTTGGACGAGCACCTGCAGCCAAGGACCGTGGGACACCAAAGGCTTATCTGGATTAACAAACGTCCCAGTCACAGATTCAGCGACTAGTGTTATTGCTACAGTATCGATAGCTGATTTAAAAGTAAAATGTCTTCCGTGTTTCAGCCTCCCTCTGCCAAATTTAATGCTTTACTCTTAATGCTAAACTTTAAAATTATTTTGACCATACCTGACTGCCAGTGGTAAAAGGCCTCCTGCTTCTGTGTTAAACGTCAAATGAACGCTGTCCAAAACTTTTGTTTGTAATAACTCATTCGATTCCAGTTCACCCAGGCCAAACGTCCCTCTACCACTGCAATAATAATACATTCATAATAAAAATATAATTTGAATCAATTTCTCAGTGTTCTCACTGGGCCAAAACTGGGTTTTCATCATCATCGCAAATTGTGTTTCTTAATATGTTATTGTCCTCTGAATTTTCTTCTCCTCCACATGCTCCTTTATCTGTTTTTGTGTATATATCAATAATTAAGTTTAAAGCTTAAACTTTAAAGAATTTAGGATTTTAAAAATTATATTACTTGCATCGGTCCAGGAACACTGAGCGGTTACGCCGCTTAAATTTGATCCCTCTTTGTCAATACCGGCTTCAACCACCTGGGAAACATTTGTATCCAATTCATACATAGTTTCACCCCTCCTCATGTCAGTTACTAGCCACAAACTTCCTCCAGCACCCCTGTGAAAACAAGACTTTTTACTATTTCCAATTTTGATTTCTTTTAATCCATATATGTTTAATGATCATAATTGACCATATTAAATATATCAATTAATTATTCTTTTTATAAGGTTTTGGTTAAGATGAAAAAGTTAGTGGCACGAGCAGGATTCGAACCCATGACCTTCAGCTCAATATGTCGTTGCTCGTTACAATAGCTCAAGTGGTTAGTGGGTAGTACGCAGTGGTATACTGAGCCGAAGGTCATGGGGTTGAATCCCGCTCGTTACACTAACTTTTTTTATCTTAACAAAACCTTATAAAAAGAATAATTAATTGATATATTTAATATGGTCAATTATGATCTAAGACCTTAGATAAAAAAAATAATTAATTGAAATTTCTTTTAATCTTTGCACCTCCTTGCGATCAAACCCAATTATATATTATTGTTTAGGTAAATTCAAAAAACTTTTAGTTCCAGCAGATTTGCGCAGAAATCTACTGGAACTAAAAGCTTTTTGAATTGACCTTGAATTTGGTATCAAAGAAGCCACAAGTGTATAATTTCCAAAATACCTTGGTATATTTTTAAGAATGTCCAAAACCCCGAGGCCATTCCATTTCTGGGCCGCTTTAAGCTCCTCTTTGCACACACCGACGACCTAAAAAATTACAACAATTGACACAAATCCCTACAGTAATATAATTAATTAAGGTTTTTAGTTGAGATAAAAAAAGTCAATGGCACGAGCGGGATTCGAAACCACGATCTTCGGCTTGATACGCCGCTGCTCTACCACTTGAGCTATCGTTACCTCGATCCAGTCGGACACCAACTTCCCATCTCAACCGCACCTTTTTGAATTTTCCCTCCTTTTTGCCATTTTTCAATTTTTTAATCTAAACTAAAAACCTTAATTAATTATAATATATTAATTGGTCAAGCGGACCACGAAATTAGTGAATTTAATGATTCAAAATGAAGTATACTTCACTAAAGCTCTCCGTGGCCATTTCATTTGTCGTCGAGAATCCAATCCGATTACATATTTGAAAAATGTAAAAAAGGAGGGAAAATTCAAAAAGGTGCGCTTGAGATGGGAAGATGGTGTCCGAGTGGATCGAGGTCACGATAGTTCAAGTGGTAGAGCAGCGGCGTATCAAGCCGAAGATCGTGGGTTCGAATCCCGCTCATGCCATTGACTTTTTTATCTCAACTAAAAACCTTAATTAATTATAATATATTAATTGGTCAAGCGGACCACGAAATTAGTGAATTTAATTCCTACAGTAACTTCACGGGGGGAGGGGGGATCATCAATGTAAGGAGGAAATGTACGAGGTGGCCGTGAGTTTAAACCCAACATACTTAATTTTTTTTCCAAAAACACCAGCACCCCAGGGGTTGATATGACCTCTGGTGTGAACCCCCATTTAAAAACACAAATCACCTGTATGAAGTCCACAGTTCCGCAAGGTGTGTTGACAGTATCCAGCTGAGGATCGACTGCAAGTAGCATGTGCTGAAGGAGGGATTCGCTCCCGTCGAGTGCTTGATGCCATGAGATGTGATCACCGGCGCAAAAGCAGTTGCCAGAGTGGAAAACATACTTTGCTAACGATTGCAAAAGAGTGGCTGGCCAGGTTGGAGGAGAAGTCTCTTCGGGTTCCCTTTTAAGGCGGAAAGTCAGTTCGAAACCGAATCCACTTAACCCACCCGGTGTCGATCGCTCATGGACTCTACCATCACCATGCAAATCGCTCAGGCCAAAACTAACACGCAAATTATTATTTCTTCATTGAATATTAATTTATTGCTAATTACCTGATATAATGCCAGTGAGGAGGGATGTCCAGCTTGGGGTTGCCGGGATTTGAGTACATACTTATATAGTCTAAAGGGTCTGGCCCACCTAACCTAATAAAACACCAACTATTAAAACAAAAACAACAAAAAAATACAGAGAAATCATTTACCAGAATTTCACGACAGCTGCTACTTGGAGAGGGTTCAACTGATCTGGATAAACGTTACGGCATGCCAGATAAAGAGATTCAAGGCCAGGAGGAGACATTGGTAAGATGCTCATCGGAAGCCCTCGGTTCCCCGTGGCCTCAACCATCTCTTGTCTCCGTTTCTGAGACAGAAGCCTGTTGGGGGAAAAAATACATTTCAATTCCTGAGGTGCAGGTGCAACCATAAAAATATACCCAGCAATTTGGCATAAAATGAGATTTAATAGCCGAATAATTTAACCACCAATATTGTTTATTAATAATTTATTTTTTTATCTAAGACCATAGAACTCAAAGAAATTGATTAATCAATAAATCAAAGCTAGAAAAGCAACTAAACTGGGTAAAAACATAAATTCTCCTGGGAAGTGATTTTCAATCAGTATAGAGTATTTTTTCTTTCGTTTGTGTGAAGCTTCCATCTGTCTTCATGAGGAAGCTTATCCGCCTCCCTGTACCATCCTTGGCTAGGGTGTATGCAGACACAATGAGGTGTTTTTTGTGATTTCCTCATGAAATCTCAGCCACAAGTCCCGTTTAGCTTTTCGTTTTTCTTTGTTGTACTGGGTCAAGGCATTTCTGTATCCCACTCATTATGGGCCTTAGCTCAAAAATGATTCCCCCAGCAGACTTCAAGAAAAAATTTCACCATTAATTTTTTTTTTTTTTTTTTTTTATTTCAAATAAGAGCAGCAGCTAATGCTGGTTAATATTTGAGGATACATAGGGTAGACCAGAAGGATTAGAAATTATAAAACTGACTATTCATCACCCGGCAAACCCCAGGAGAAAATCTCACAACACTTATTATACTGAATATTATATTCAAGAACCATTTTACAAAATAATCACATTCTATGCATACTGTACGTTAAATTCAAGATCTTTCTATCAATAGAAACCTTTTTGTTAGAAGACAATTTAATTTGGTATCAAAATAAACTAGCCGAGTTTGAGTTATATTGTATAGGAGCTAAAAAAGATAAAAGTTTTGGCAGAGCTAGTGAGGGATACATTTTTGGATATAACAAGAAAAGATTAAATATGTAAAAATAAACAATAAATCATGCATATAACTAAAACTTAACAATGACAAGGTTTATTTAGTACCTATTTATTTAAGTAGCAATTGATGGGACAATGATTTTGAAAATATAATTGAAATGGTCAATTCGAATAGAAGGGCGGAGTTTATATTATTAGGAGATTGGAACGCTCACTCGGAAATCTGCAGACTTGTCCCACGGAGCTTCTGGAAGGAACAAACCTGCTATTAGAATCAAGAAATTCCAAAGACTCCAAAATAGACAATAAAGCGCTAAAAGTGGTAGAAGCTAACATTCATCTCGCATACAGGTTCCTCGGTAATAGATCTGGGAGTAGCATCGATAAACTGTTTAAGGAAAATAAACCATTTCGAAGTAATACCCCAAATATTCTCTGACCATCTACCTTTAGTATTAACGGGAAGCTAGTATTAAAGGGAACGAACTATGTTAATGATGATCATATACTGCCTCTACTACCGAAATTAATATGGAGAAAAGAAAATGAAAAACAGTATAATAATAATTTGAAAATATGCCTGGACAAGGACAAGTTTAAAACAAATGACGTGGATGTTTTAATTAATAATGTAGAAGAATTGATAGTCAGCAGCAGGTAAACAGGCCCAAATGAGTGCATTAAAAGGAGTTAGACGCGAAAGGTGGTTTGATCGAGGGTGCATGAGTAAAAGAGCAATATCTTTCAAATTCTTAAATTTATATAGGAAGACTCACTCACAGATATTTAAATTATGGTATTTAGATGCGAACAAAACTTATAAAAATGTATGCTGTTTAAAAAAGACTGCCTGGACTGAAGCAATGACAATTGCAAATTGCAATGACTGCATCCTCAATGGAAGGGATAACTGGAGGAAGCTTGTGGTGTACCTCACTCACGCCCTGCAGTACCGAAAATACTTGGTTGACCAATTCAACTTTTAAAATCAAAGGTCATTCTAAAGATACAAAAATAGGGATTCATTCAAGATTCAAAAATTGATAAAGCAACTCGACAGACGACTAAGGCCATTGAAAATTTAGCTTTTTCTTTGGAAATGTAAAGTTAATGTAAATACTTTGTGTAAATAAAGCTTTTATTCATTCATCCATTCATTCTAAATTCAATATGTTTTAATATTTTGAAGATGTCTTCATCCTGCTCTTGCCTACTATTGAACACAAGTAGTACTGAATATTATCATCTTTATAAAAGTTTGAGTACAATGACAATATGGAAAAATATTGTTAGAAATTAAATTGTGGTGTTGTGAAACCAAACAGAAGACAGTTTGAATCTGCAGCATCTTAAGTCTGTTGGCAATGCTGATCAAATTTGACCACGTCCTCCAAAAAACCCTCTTTTTTAATTACTTTTTTGTTTGTAAGTGTTTTGGATTGTAACACGACCTTTCCTAGGTCAACCACCGATGTTTATTATTTATAAATATGCTATTAAACTCTAATCCAGTCTTAGTTTAATGTTCAAACATGATATATGGAAATCATGAGATTAACGTCCTAATATAATAACATGTTTACAATTTAGTAACATAACAAAAAAGTAATAAAAGCAATTTAAATGTTCTAAAATTAATAAAAACTCAATTCAATTTTTTTATTAATATATCGTTAAAAGTACTCAAGAAGCATTTTTACTAGATACCGCTTACCTCCAGAAACGAAACCTTGAAGCCAATTTAACGCTTTTAAAGCTCAATTATTTGACGCTTTCTTCTTCTAAATTTGTTCCTTTTTCGTCGAAACCTTCTTTCTTTTAGTTTTTCTTGTATTTTATCGATCGAAATATCGATCCGTTTGCCTCGCTAGGTCACAGGTTGATGGCCTGAAAAAGGGCAACTACCCTTGAGGCAACGCCAGGGGAAGACTTTGATCATTTCATTTATTTTCAAATTAGAAAATATTAACTAATATTATTATTAAATTATTGATTTTTTTATTTATTTTATTATTACTAAAAAGATCTATTTAGGCCTCAATTCTCTTCGCCGCCTTAGCTTTTTCCTTATTAAATCCCTAGAGGATAGAAAAAGGGAGAAATCCCATACCACCACCATCATCTCCCATAATTTCAAAAGGAGCACCTCTGCAGTGCTACCACCACCTATGGAGACCACTTCCACAGGTAATGCTGAGGTGGAGGTTAACCAGGTCATTCTGGAGACCCAGATCCCCTACTCAGAAGCAAAAATGCTCAGTGAAGAGAATGACCCAGGTGAATATCCATCACGCAAAAGCAACCTCGGCCGTAACTTCTAGGATGTTCACCGTACAGATATGGGCAGTTCTCAATTTCTCATCCAGACCTGGCAGTGGAAAGGACAAATCATGGTAAGGGTGTATGGGATTCCAGAAAGAAAAATTCCCATGCATCAAGGGTTCATCATTAGGAAAAATACTAATCATCTCTGTTTTGCAGAAACCTAGTCCCCATTAAAATAGAAATAACGGATGGGAAAAAAACTAGAGCGGAAGCATCGGTTTACTTCCCAGAAGAACTGCAGAGACTTTACTACTGCAGCAAGAAAAAACCTTCCCCTATCCGTGGGATATGATGCCAACACACACCATCAAATCTGGGGAAGCAATAACAACAGAGGTAAGTCACTCAGAATTTTTGGCGAAAAAAATTAATTTTTAACATAGGGCCAACCCTAACCTTTGTCACCAAAGTGAGACAAGAAGTGTTGGATATTACCATTTGTAGCTTTGCCATACAATGACATAAAGAATTGGGGGGTTTCTAACGAAAAATCTATGTTAGACTATAGAACAATAACGTTTGACAATGAATCAGATAGAATAGACCCTGTACCATACAGGAACCCTCGAAACACTTACTGGGCAAAGTTCATTGAAATGGTACACCACAGCTTGGACCACGCAACAGTAAAGAAAACACCAAAAACCTGCTATGAGTTAGAACTTGCAGCCACAGAACTCAGGATGGCACATGATTCAAGCTGATGGGCTCCTCTGTTTCAAATGGCCCCCATCTACCCCCGTTGCAAAAAAATTTTTGTCTCATTGTCTCGTTACAGTTGTACTAAAAATGTCATTATTTCCAAAACTACAAACTGGCAATTATTAACAAGGCCAAAAATTCAGGTTAGAAGAAGAAACTGTAAGAAAATTTGTAAACCATTTATTTTACAAAAACCGTAAATAACTAATGAAAAATAATAAATACTACTTGAATGAAAATCTATGTACAGATATATACATTAAATGTTTTACAAAGACATAACCAAAAATAATCTATGCAATGCAAATAAAATTAACTAAACAAAATTGGAATTCAAATGTTTTCTCCATTTTGTTTCTTACATATAAATACATAACATTATACATATGTACAGATACATAATTATTTACTCAGTTTATATAAATAATTACAATTCTACATTTGAAGAAAACTACATTTTCATTCCGTCCACTTCTACTTGAAGACTTTTATAAATGGTATTTTTAAAATACCAACAATTATGAAAACTTTGGTTTCGTTTAAGGTTTAAATTATGACAAAGCATCTTTTTATAAACAAAATTTAATCATTTGTTTTTCTAAAAATATTTTAGTAATAGTTCTCTTGATCGTTTTTATGCTGTGGAGACAAAGGATATTTTTTTTAAACATACTTTTTAGCATAAAATTATAAATACTTGTTATTTAAGTTTGAAGTGAATATCACATTAAACAAGTGGTTAACATTGACATTTAGCAAGGGAAAAAATAATGTTTTCAATGCCCCTTCAGATAAAACCAGACTAGTGAAATTATTCATTCAAATATTTCTCACAGCACATTTTTTAGTATAAAAAAAATTATTTTGTAAGTACAATAATAATTTAATGATAAACACATTACGGCAACTATATACTACACCTTTTTAAAAAATTATGTACATAAATACAAATAATTCCTTGTAAATTGTCCTTCTTTTACATTGTATGTACAACATTGAGTGTGTGAAAATTCGAACTTTACGGCCAAACCATTTATTTTGGCCGAGGTCAGTTGTGACTGTCTGGGAGGACACATGTCATATGGAAGTGAGCCCGCTGGACCTGAAACGGGCACAGGTTGCAGACCTGGCTGTGGTTCTTGCAGCACTCCTTCCTGGCGATTGCTCCTTTGAGAAGTTCGATAAGCGTTTTGGGCAGCTCGAGGCTGTCCACCTCCTCCTTAGATATGCCAGTCTCGCGGATCGCCCTCATCGCAATGATCTGCAGGGAAAGGAGTGGCTTGGTGAGCTTGATGATCTTCCTCACTGGGTAGATCTTCATGTTAGGCGGGGGGACCTTTATTGAAAAATCACCACATTTGAATTAATAATAATAACAATTTAAATAAATAACTTAGGTAAAAGTTTTTAAATAAGACAAATTTTTCTAGACCTAAACAATTATTCAAAACGGTTTAGACAATAATTGTGCTAATTTGCAAGTAACAGAATTTTCAAGAACTTGTTGCAAATTTTTCTAAAACTGGAGGAAAATAAAACAATATTTTTGTTTGTAAATCATTTCTTTTCATTGTGAGATTTATCACCATAATCATCGATTAATGAGCAATTTGGTGTTACTGATCATTTTAGTCTGCTTATTCTTGTTATGTTTGTATGTCAGATGTGTTTTGACATTTCGCAAGTTTGTTTTTCAGTACTTCGTATATTCACACTCTGATGATGGCAAAGTGCTAACAGCACCTCACAGACATACCCAGCAAAGATAGGCAGACGAAAATAAACGGTAAAGACCAAATTACAAGTTCTAACATCTTGGTCCGCTTATCCTATCCGTTTTGATCTGTCAAACATTTTTCAACATGTGAAATGTCAAAATACAATCTTCAGTGATTGGTAACTAAGTCAAATAAAACAGCAACATACCACTGAATATTGTGAAATGGCAAAATGTGTCTTGTAGACCAAAACTGCAGGACCAGCTTTTCAAGTCAGCTGTGTGGAGTCCAGCAGCTACAGCCTCTTTTATGAATAAGGGTTACCAGCTCTGGATGATCAGAAACGACCAAAGCTTTATTTCTTTACACCACTGATCTCACAAAAAACAAATACGATTTCTATTAGAATGAGCTTTCAGCTGTGTAGAACGTAGCAGCTACAGCCAATGAATGAGGATTGGCAGGAAAATTTAAAACGACCAAACTGCAGGTTCATCACATCTCAGACAACAGGAGGAAATCTCACAATTTGTATAGCAACCTTGTAGCAATTCCTTGACTTTTTCATCCTTTTTTACATTTCTCTGAATTCTTTTTCAACCCATGGTTTTACAAGTTGTTATGGAGCAGTGTCAATTCACAACATTTAAAGTGTTCACATGGTGCTCACCTCTGGTGAAGGTGTAAGGTAAAGGTCCCGGGTTCGAATACAGAGACACTGGATTTGAACCCAACATACTTACAAATGGTCTATTTTTTTTTTTTTTTCAAAAACACTGGCACCCTTAGGGTTCATTTAACCTTGTAGTTGAAATACCCTCGTACAGAGGCCAGCTTGGTATTCACTTAATCGTCATTTATGAATATTTCTAAATGGTGCAAAATGAGGGCTGAGAAAATTGGCCAAACAAGAGATGCCATGATAATACTATTCATAAACACGTCAAATAAATTAACATTAGTCAGTTGATACAGCGTTTTAAAGTTGGATTGATACGTTATAGAACGTAGTAGTTTGGTTATGATCGTTTTAGTCTACCTATCCTTGCATTTTTGGCTTATTGGACGCGACTCAGCTCTTTGATAACTTCAGTGGGTCTGAAGATAACGAGTTCTGCTTATGACTACTGCCAGACCAAAACATCCAGGATAGGTAGACCAAAATAGTTTTTGGCTACTAAAACTACAGATTTTGAGTTGTTTGGTATTTAACTGACCTTGCCCTTTTTCTTGAGGGCGTCCTTCGCGTCCTCGAGCCAGTTGCCCGGTAGGAAGATGCACTTGGAGTCGGCGAGGAGGTGGTCGCCGGTGATGATGTCTTCGAAGATCCACGGATGAGTGGCGAAAGTGTTAACGTCGAGGTAGTGGCCAGGAGGGAGGACGCTGTAGTCGAGCCGTCTGCTCTTCGTCTGGAGCCAGATGACCCGGACGTACGAGTCTGACGAGTTGAGGAACCTGTAGTAGGCTGGCTCCATCCCGGAATCTTATGGCAGGAAAGGTTCAGCTCGATCGGCACCTCGACCCTCCTCCAAGTCTCGATGTCGACGGGGATCTCGCCCGGCTCAGACATGAAATTTCCCTCCGGCGATTTCGGCTCGCTCGACGAAAACACGGACCTTTCATTGATATCGCCGACGGGCCGACGTTTGACCCTCTGAACACCGATGACAACTCGAGAAGGTTCTGCAATCTGCACAGTGCCCACTACAGTAGCCTCATCTGGGATCACACGTTCCTTCTGCCGGTAACGTCATGAACGGAAGCTCTCGCTTCTTCCCAATCTTTTCTCCATTTTCATACTTAACATACTCGAAATAGCTGGCATAAGATTTGAAATACAAGATTGTACTGATGAAGATGTGACTCTGGTCTTAATGCAAACTGTAAAGTATCTTGGAGGTATGCGACGTTCATATATCTAACGTACCATTTCCTAATTTAAATAAACGGTTCATAACACAATATTGGATTAATCTTAGCAGTCCACATCAATACAGAGGAGGCAAACCAGGTTGATTTATGTAAAACTATCAGAAAAAGTATTGACTTAAGACGGCAATATAGTGTAGCTTCATTGCTGTGATTCAAGTCCATGCCTCCAAGTCTCGCTGTTTCCGTTTCTGTTTCTTCATACATAACCAGTGAAGATTTTTATTATATTTATTTTTTTAACAAGGATATTTCGACTACGAGGTTATTTGAATCATCGGGATGCCGGTGTTTTGGAAAAAAGCCTATTTGTAAGTATGTTGTATGTGTAGACCACTGGATTCGAACCCGGGACCTTTACTTTAAAGTGATGAGCGAAATGGCAACGCCCAAGTGTAGTTTCAATGACATGATCCTCCAAATCTCGCTGTTTCCGTCCATTCTTTATACCTAACCAGTGAAGATGGCAAATGCCGATACACGTTTGACGGACCTTTCAATTATTCTGATCAACTTACTCGTTTTAGTTTCAATATCTTGCTCTTCTTCACAAACTCATCAGTGAGATTAGGGAGACCAGAAATATCGGACACGACCAAACCTTTGTTTCTGCACCCCATAGATCTTAAGAAAGAAATACAATTTGTATTGAAACAAGCTTTCAGCTGCGTGGAGTGTAGCAGCTACATTCTTTTATGGTCAAATGACAGACCAAGACGGTCTACAACGACCAGACTTCAGTTCAACTCCCAGCAGAGTACTGAGCACAGCTAGTCTTTTTTATGAAAGAGGATTGGTAGACCAGGACAGTCGAAACAGCCTTTGCTCCAGTACCTCCAAGATCTTAAGAAACAAATATAAACCTATACGGAAGATGGCGAAATGCCGAAACGCGCCTGACAAACCAACTCAGCGAGGAGGATAGGCAGACCAGAAATTGTAATTTCATCACTATGATCACTATGCAGATTACATCGGACACGACCAAACTGCAGGTTCATAATACATTAGATCTCAAGAAATAAATACACTTTATATTAAGACATGTTCGATCACAACAGCCACATCCTCTTTTATGATGGTTGGAAACAACCCAACCTTTCCCTAAGCATCTCTCAAGAAACAAATACAAACTGTACAATATGTACTAATAATTTGATTTTTATCAAATATCCTGGTTTCTAAAACGACCAACCTGCAGTTCAACATTCCGCAGAGAACTGAGCAGCAGCTAGTCTTTTTGATTAACAAGGATTGTCAGACCAGGACAACCGAACGACCAAACCTTTGCTTGCCTCCAAGATCTCAAAAACGAATACAAGCCTATACAGAAGAAATGAAAAATGCCGAACGCGTCTGACAAACCAACTCAGCGAGGAGTATAGGCAGACCAGAAAGTGACGGGTTCATCACCTTGCAAACCTCAGGAGGAATTCTCGCAATTTTTAGGCTTTGGAACGCAGTAGTAGCTACAGCCTCTAGCAAACAAAAACAAGAATTGGTAGGCCAGGATGATTAGAACTGATTCAGGATTAGAACAGGTTCATCTCTCCAAAGAGCTCAAAAAGAACTCTCACAAATTAAAGTTGATTGGCTCGAGGTCCGTATTACAAAGTCACTTCTAGACAGGAAACTTCTGATTCCTTTTCCAACCCGGGGTTTTAACAGTCAGTATGTATTGAGTACTAAACAGCCATTTCAATTAGGAGAAATTGCAAGAGAATACGGTCAGCGTTTTTTTGTATATGAAAGTTGAACTATCAACGTTCTGTTATTTTAAAGGTGGATTAATTCCTTTTTCCGTTTAATTTGAAAATTTTATACTCTTTTAATTAACAGTATAAAAGTGATTATCTCCATAGTATGATAATCACTTTTGACAGGGTTTTCGATACTCGAAAACAAACGTAGGAACGACATGGTCCATGCGGTTTCTGTTGAAACATCACTTTACCTGTTTCATGATGTCCAGTTTTTTAAAGATATAAGTTGTTTATTGTAAAAGTGTTGTCAAGACAGTTGGATAATTGTGTTAAATATCCATTTTTTTCTTAATAAAATAATGTAAAGATGTCAACTTTGGTGGGAGGCCGGTGCGTTGTGACCTCAGCTCTTCCCCACCCTCGAGGCACCTGTTGTCTTCCCCACTCCCGCTGGAATTTCCCAGGCGGATACGAAGTCTGGAAAGGAATGTCAATCGGTGAAGAAGGAAGGAAGCGCAGTTTCACGCCGTCTTTTGGGCACATCTTCGGGGAAAAACGGCCCAGAAGTTCCGACGCCCGCCTCCGCCTCCGCCGACTCGGAAGTGAAGACCTCAGTCTAATTAGTCCAATTGTTAATTTACTGGTGTCCTTCTTTCCTCCGACGCCCCTTCGCCGATAATTCTTTGTTTATTTATTCAACCGACCTGCAAGAAAGGAATAAATATACCAAGAGGGAAAACTATGTGGGATGGCGGGTATAAAGGAAAAACCTTTAAAAGAGGGGTATCTCCTCATGCCACAGCAGAGCCTTAAGAAGGTCTGTATTTATTTTCAATTATTTTAAAATACAGATTCATTTTTATGCACACCCTGCCTTGCTTCACCAATTTCACACACCTCTTCAATTCAATTCAATCATCCAACTCTTCAAATAATGGTAAGTTGAGTATTTTTTGTTCTGGTCAGAATGTAAAAAATGCACATAAAGATTAAATAAAGTAAAATCTTGATTGCTACGGCAGTATAAACTCAACCATAAAGCTGGGTTTTCATTGCTCGATAAAAATTACTCGCTCAACTAAATGCAAAAATTACTTGCGAAACGCCGTCTTGGGTTATCCTTTTCCCTGAGGTGAGCCATTGGTTTGCATAACTACACCAACTGCTGCATCAGAGTTTGCTATCACGGTGTTATTTTTGGCTTTGTCCCGCTTGTTTCTTAACATTCTCTCTCTTGTTCTTGTTATGATGAGTTTTATCTGTAGCTTCCCACAAAAATCACTAGTTGTGATACATTCAGATAAGTCGAATGCAGTCCTCCTGGTTCATTGTCATACTCAAGACATCGGTTACACAGAGAGAAACAACACGAAACACTTTGATGCGCAAAATTGACAGCCAGTCAGCTCATCCCTAAACATCCTTATGCCAAAAGTTCTACAGTCATGGCTAGGTATCCACAATGCGAGTCAAGTTTCAAGTATTTTCATGCAGTGGAAACCCAGCTTAAAACATTTCAAGTACTTTGTAGGTTTTCTTTTCTTGCTTTGCTTACTGATTTAGTGATTACTAATAATAACGCTGACTACAGCTAGGTCATTTCAGCCTCAAACACTTCTAGGTTGTTTTTTTTTTTTTAAGCATAAGGGGGGCTGCAGTGAAAGTTGACATAGCACCCATAAATGGAAGGTCTGAGTGGGATAGGATCTGAACCAATACTAAAATTCAGTCCCGATACCCTTCAAAAATAAGTTCCCTTGATGGAAGAACACTGGCACATGGTGGGGGGAATTCACACACGTGTTGTTGCAAGCTCACATAAAAGGAGTCAAGAAGTAGTACAATAAGATGTAAAGTTACAGACTCAGGGGGAAATCCTCCAGTTCCTGGTATCCACAATTTAAAAAAAATCATATTTCTTTATATCATATATCATTATTCATACAAAATAATGTCTATCCAAGTAAAAATCCTGTTGAATAATACAGGTTTGATATAGATGTAGATGTAATATTTGGAGACCCATTCTGTACTTATAGCACACCGGTAAGTCCTAGTTCATCAAGAAATTTGTTGCTGTACAGTCCAAAACACTCCAAATGCAAGTGTAGCACCAGTTTGTTAATACATGTTTTGGTGACTCCTCTGCATCCTTGCAGAAACTGCATGTGCCATCCTGTTAGGAAACCTGTTAGGATTCAAAGTTTTTTCTCCCTTTAATGCATTCTGTTGCATCTTTCCTTCCAAAACTTGCTTGGAGGTGTCCAATGAATGAATTCAACTATTTCTTCATTTTCATTTCGTTGTTTTGTGTATGATACTCATTGATAGTGGGAATCTTTATAAAGAAGTGCTCAGCAATATACCAGCCCCCTTCCTTGCAAGGGCTCTCTCGTGTCTTACTCCTATATGTCCTGGGATCCAGTAATCCAGAGAGTAATTTCATTTTGCATACCTAATTAGTATAAATTAGTTTTGCAATTCAGCACCATCCTTGACTTAATGATGTTTGAGCCAATGCTCTGATGGCTGCCTGGCTATTTGACATGTATCTCTCGATTGCACTACAGCCTGGAAGTGACTGGTGTACTTTCCCATGGGTTCTGAGCGTATGGTTCCAAAATCAAATTCTGCCCCCGTAATTTCTTGCATTCTACATCCAATGATCCAATACAGATTTAATACTGACTGTTATACAGGAAATCAATGTGTAATTTTTTATGTACAACAGTCTGTGATTACATTCTAAATAACTAAATCTGACAAGTTCTTCTTTTCTTGCATTTTCCTTCCTTATTTATTCTTTTATCGATTATTTTTATTATATTATTTTGTAGGCCATAGCACACTCCTTCCGTAAGCAGCTGTAAAAAAGTGACAATTATATGACGATTATGACTCTTATAACTCAGACAGTGAAACTTTCAAGATATTCTTATTCAAATGGGCAAAACAAATACAAATATAATTATACAAACAATCTTTTTTTTATAAATATTTATTTAACCAGAACAACAGTACAATTTGTTTTACATGGAGTTAATTAAATTTTACTGCTTAATTTAATTCCATTAGTATAAACTAAAATTATTTGTGCAATGAAGAAACTCAAACTAGAAATAAATTAAAATGAAATGTTAAGGAAATGTTTAAGTATTTTGTCTTGTGATAACGTTGACTTAAGCCTTAAGTGGGTTGTCCAATTTGATAACGGTCTGCGCCTTTCGTACGCATTATTTTTTTCTTGGAACCATTTAAATTCCTGTTGTCTAAATTCAAGTGGTGTCGGTGCCTGCAGATCCTTGTGCAGCTGGTTTTTTCTGATGAACAGAAGTGCTTTTGGGTTTGATTAATTTTCTATACAAACCTTATACCCTTGTGTATTATTGTAAATGGATGGGAATAGAAAATTTTTAATTTTAAGAAGGATTTTTTTTTGTTTATAGGGTAAAGAAATTTCAAAAAAATTCTACTGACTTCTTTAAAAAAAATTGTTCTGTTGGAATTTATTTTGCATTCGTCACAATCAGATCTATATTCAAAACATAGTAAACAAACGTTCTAGTAAACAAAACTAAATTAAAAATAGATAAACAAAGGCGAGAGCTGATTAAAAAATAAAAAATTTCCTTTATTTTCAAAAAATTATTTTTCACAGTATAATTTTTTTAATTTGTTTTTAATTGGCCTAGAAATTTCTGTGTGCATTTCAACCTGGTAAAATTATACATGTCTTTTAAGGAAATGCAAATCGATTATATTTGGTATGCCATGTTTTACTACGTCAAATGTGTCTTATTTCATTAAATAAAATTACGTCAGCATTTACTCAATGATTATAATTAGAACGTTTATTTATTTGTTACAAATTTCCAAAGAGAAATGCCTATTATGTTATTAAATTTTATGTGCATCGTCAGTGTTCAGGTGGCCACATGAGTACTGTCTGTCTTTTTATGTAAAAAAAAACAAGTTATTCCTCGTATAATATATTTGATATCAACCTGATATGTTTAATTTTGTATTAAAAAATCAGAGATAAGGCCAATTGGAAAGAAACAAAAACACTCAGCTCCTTCGTCAAGCTTTCGAGTAATATACCCCCTTCATCAGGACTTTTAAACTATTATTATTAATTCACAAGGTTAACAAATATGAAAACTTGCTTACAATATTGAAACTTGGAGTTTGGCCATCATGCAGATGGTGAAAAGCTGAATCGCCTGACAGACCAGCCCAGTGAAGATAGACAAACCAAAATGATCTAAGACAAAGGTGTGATAAATTATCTAGTCGGTAGTGCCAAATAATATTGTGGATAAAATAAGTGAGACCCATAAAGTTAAATAATCAATTTTGCTACTTTGCAAATGATCAGGATATTCAATTAATTGTTGCACATTGTTCTTAAACGCTGGAGGAAAATGAAATGTAACTTTTTCCCAATAATTTCTGAATTCTGAGATTTCTCCCTGCAGGATGATAAATTTGTCATTTAATCATTACTAATCATTTTTATGTGCCTAACTCGGTTCCTCTGTCAACTGCCGTTCATCAGAGCGTGAAAAAATAAAACACCGAATTACAAATCCACCACTGAAGATGGCAAAATGCTGAAACATGCCTTACAGACCAACTCAGCAAGGATACGCAGACTAAGATTAAGGCAGATTCAGTAAGGATCAAAGCATAGGTTCATCACCTCATAAGCCACAGGAGGAAATTTCACAATTCCTTAAGTACCTTTTATGTTTAAATTGGATCTATCATAAGTCTGTTTTTTCTCATGTTATAATAAAAGACATTTTTATTTATTGTCCTTGTGTGGGGATGATATTTTTTGCTGTCTGTGATAAATTTATTCTGGACTAGTCTCTTTAAAAAAATAAATAAGTAAGTAAATAAATAATTAAAATTATTTAATCGATATTAAAAAAAAAAAAATAGTTTTTATCGTCCTTTAGTTAGCAGTTTATCAACATTTCTCTTCATCTTTTTTGGTTTTGTTATCACATGGATAACTTTTTATAACAAAGTATTATTAATAATTAATTATTAAAAAAGTAAGGAAATCAGTAATGCTATCATATATATCATTTTCTATGCAATCTTTCAACATCAATTAGTTACATTATATTTAAAGAAGATTTTTACATTTTTTGAGTTGTAACATTTGTCAACCTTCAGGCCATACTCTCGTAAAGTCTTATCAGCAAACATTTCTACAATGCAAATTAATCCTACGGTGTGATAAGTGAGTTTGCTATTGAAATAAGAAAAGTTCAAGTTGATAGAATTTTTCAGGTATTGTTAGAAGATATCGTAATTTTTATTATAAATAAAAAAAAGTTTTTTCAGTTAGAGAATTTTTTAAATTTTTATTTATCTAATAGAAATGTTTTTCAAAATTTGAAGCAGATCTTATAAAAATCTGTTGTTTTAGCGAAACAGAGTGAAATCCTTTTTCATTTTAAGTGTATCAACCGTCAGTCATGTTGTCACCGCTTTCATTTCATCAATTTGTAAATTAATACAACTTCCCCTCTCTTCATTTGTGTTTATATTTAGATTTTGAGCTTCTGATTCAAGAATGGATTCCAAGAAAACAAACAAAAAGAAAACACACCGATCGAAACGGGCCCGGCAATTGATTAATTTATTTAACCATTTTGTAGTGTGTTAATAAATAGCACTGACTAAAGATAATTGAAGCGACAAAAGCTGACACTGGAAAATGGAAAGACTGCCGGTCACTCGAAATGAGGCCCTAGTTAGTTAATGGTTTGATTGATGACATGGTAGTTTCTAATGAGTCATTGGGAGAAAATATTCTGCCAATATTTAACCAAAACCTGTTTATGGATTCTCCCTTTCTACACTCCTGGGTGGGAAAAAATAATTCTGCTGAAAGTAGTTCTTACAAAAGCAAAATAAATTGTATGTATTATGACTTGAAGTTTCCTCTCATAACCCACCCACAAATATTCAAGTAATGCAGCCTTATTTTGAATATAACACAGTATCAATGGTGCAAGACAAATTGCAATTCAGAAAACCCTGACAAATCTGTATTTTCATAACCAAACAACCAAAATCTTTAATAACCAAAAAATCCCAAATTGTTTACTTGATTTTGGTACTCAATAAGGCATCATTGCAGTTTTTATTTTAAAGTAATATATAATTTATATATAGTAATGAGAGAAAAGAAAGTGAAATGTTAATGTGTATATACTTTTTCTTCTAAATATATTTGTATCCAACTAATGACTTAATAGCTATAAGATGCAATGATATCTTGTAGGTTTTTATAAAAGATATGGCCTTTTATTTTTACGCTGCCTATTTTATTGTGAAACTAATTAAAAGTATGGATCCACAGGTAATTTTTCATGTAGACTTATATGTTAAGTTGACCTGGTGATCAACTTTTTTTTATGTAATGCCCTATTTTTGTCATAGATTTTAAGTCCTTTCCATTTAAAAATAAAATTGATTCATTCTGGAGATATTGAAATTTTCTCATTCGGAATTCAATAATTTTAATTTGTCATGTACCTGTTTAAAAAAAGTAGAAAATTAATTTAATAATATATGAAAATTTAATTAGTTAATTTATTCAATTAAATTTTAAATTTTTGCGTTTTTTAACCAGCTACATAAAACATTGAAATTATCAATTTCGGAAGGAAAACTTCAATATTCAGAATGAATAGATGAATTTTGGTATAACTTGTTGGAATAAAAAGAACTTTCAATATGTGCAAAAAAAATGCTCAAAAATTGAAAGTGATGAATCTTTTTGCACACATTGAAAGTTCTTTCCATTCTAAAAAAATTACTGCAGAAACTAAAAAATCAATTGATTCATTCTGGAGATATTGAAGTTTTCATTTGGAACTCAATAACTTTAATTTATCATGTACCTCAGCAGTTCCCAAACTTTTTCTGTTTCCGGCGTCCTTAATATATTAGAATTTGTCTGCAGCACCCCAAGTCAAAACAATAGTCTATCTCAGCGTAAACTTTAAGATAATAGCAGTAATTCATTTTCAATTCAGAAAAGAATTGATATATCTAAACCTCTTATTTTATCTTTAATTTTATTTAATAAATGATCAAAACTCCTGACTTTCTTGTGGAATTGAAAAAACTTCCCTTTTGAAAAGCGATGACGCACGTTGCATACAATAGCAAAAATATAAAAGCGAATACTTTTTTTGGGGCAATAATATAAAATACGCAATTACAGCTGTCCACCAGGTTTTACTTTTTATGGTTTTATAAATGGATGGAGGAGTTTAGTTTCTAAATTTTTTATGTACATAAAAATAATATTTTTTATAGAAAATTTACATTTTGGGAATTACTGATGTACCTGGTTAAAAAAATTAATTCAATAATATATGAAGATTTAATTTGTGATAATTTATTCAATTATTATTTTTTCATTATTATTTTAATTTTTTACCAACTACTAAAATATTGAAATTTTTGAGTTCTGAAGGAAAACTTCAATATCACGAGAACGAAATGATGAATTTTTGTGAATGAATTTTTTCGCACGTGTTGAAAGTTCTTTCCGTTCTAAAAACATTATATCAAAAACACCAAACTATTTCTACTTTTAACCAGTTACACGATAAATTGAAATTATTAAATTCTGAAGGATAACTTAAATATTTCCATAACACATCGATGAATTTTTGAGAATATACCAAAAATTCATCAATGTGTTATGGAAATATTTAAGTTATCCTTCCGAATTCAATAATTTCAGCTTATAATGTAACTGATTGTTGTTTAAAGTTAGAATTTTAAAAAATCAACAGAAATTAAATTTTCATATTTTATTCAATTAAATTTTCAATTTTTATTTGTATTAACCAGTTACACAATAAATTGAAATTATCAAATTCTGAAGGATAACGTCAATATCTCCATAATAAATCGATGAATTTTTGAGTTTGTCGTACCATTTTTTTGAGACTAGAAAGGACTTTCCAAACGTGTTAAAAAATTTGATTTGTTCTGGAGATGTTTCAATTTATTGTGTAACTGATTGTTGTTTAAAGTCAGGTTTAAAAAAATTTTAAAAATATAAATTTACCTAATCCTTGATTCTGCATAAATTATAACATTAAGGCCGATATCGATCACATCCAGTGAAAATATCTCTTAATAACAAATATCTCAATAACAAAAAATATAATTATTATTAAATGTTGTTGACACACTTGTTCATATGATACAATTCTGTTGTCAATATAAAATTTAATTTGTTCTAGAAATGGCAAAAGAAATATGTGAGACTATTTCAATTTAGCAACCGTGGAATCGAACGCCTTGAAATATACGAGAACGAAGATGATATAGCAAAACGTTGCACTACGAAGGTCATCGGGCTGGAAACTTGTATTAAAATATCGTCCGAGCCACAGAAAAATCAGCCATTTGCTTTTTCTGTAAGTATGGCAAATATTTATTTAAATTAGAAAAATAGAATCATTATTCAGGGAACAGTTTAAAAATTCGTTTAACAGTTTGTTAATCTTGTGTTTTCTGGTGTGAATGACATTAGCCTGTGAATATTTTGGATTTGTCAATATTAACTCCCTCCATTCATTTCCCTTTCTTTTGTAAAAATATCCCCCTTATCTCTGCAATTATTCTACCTTATACGTTGCTGTCAACTGATTTGGTCATAAAAAATTCTCGAGATAAGAGATGGACAGGCGTTTCATTATGTGAACAGTTAAATGAATTATTAAATTTATGCCTGGATTCTGTTTATTTTCTTGTTTGAAAAGGGTATATTTGTTGTTTTCCTCCTGCGAGATTTTTATTTCACACTTGAAACATTTTTTCCCCTGCAGATTTTAACATCGTCAAATACACATTACTTCTCTGGGTCGTCCCATGAGGACAGCCAGGAGTGGTTGTCAGCTTGCCAGGATGTGGCATTCGAAGATAACTTTTCAAGAACGACTATAGAAGAAGACAATGAGCTTTACTGCCCCTCTGTAGATGGTAAGATTTTTCAAATTTTACAATTACGAATTTGACCATCAAAAATATGGTTTTTATTTTATTAAAAAGAGTGGAACATTAGCACCTTACCATTTTATAAGCATACTTCTTTAGATAAAAATTTTTAATAATTGTGAATAGTAACATTTTAATTTTTCCACACAATGAATGTATTTTAGCCATTTAGCTAAATTAGCAACCCGAGTAAGGACAAAATACAAGATTCGCAATGACGATATTTGGAGCATAATCGGTCAAGACATATTAAAGAAATGGTAACTTGTGTATTACACATCTGACAAGTGCCGGTTATCAATGCCTGTTCTTAACATTGCCGGGAAGGTTGTGGTGTTCCAGAGTAAGGAAGAGTAAGCTTTTCTGTTCAACTTTTTCTAGGTTCAGGATAGAGCATGTAATTTGCGGAGCATATTTGTACAAAATTAAAGATTTTGTTAGACTCTTTATGAGAGACATGTAACTGTCTGGAGGAATTCAGTCATATTATTTTGAAATATCCAGGGCGCAGATCTGGGGCTTCTTAAATATAAAGGAAGTGGAGATATTAAGAAATATTTTATGAAAAAGTTGTTTTACCTTCCAGCCAACACTCCAGACTATATGATTTGTATTGAGACTTCGATCACTCCGCTTTATATTCATACAATGAACCTGCATTTGCAGTACATTAGCAAGATCTTAAATCACTCTCCAAGTAGATTAACACTTTTCCTAGCCAATGAGATATAACAAAACAAATATCATGGTTTAAATACCTGTCAGAAATAGGAAGGCAGTATAGTTTTGAAATAAATAGAAACACTCTAATGACATTCAGTTGTACAAATTTGCTAAACAATCTAGAGGTGAAACTAAGGACTGATATAGTGACTAGGGCTAGGGATAATGTTTACCATAGATTCACTACTTTCGTGGTCCACTTGACCAATCAATACATGACAATTAATTAAGGTTTTTAGTTGAGATGAAAAAAAGTTAATGGCACGAGGGGGATTCGAACCCACGACCTTCGGCTAGATATGCCGCTGCTCTACCACCTGAGTTATCGTGACCTCGATCCACTCGGACATCAACTCCCCATCTCAACCCCAACTTTTTGAGTTTTCCCTCCTTTTGCCACTTTTTAAATGTCGTGTAATCGGTTTGGATTCTCGACGACAAATGAATCCGATTACACGACATTTGAAAAATATATCATGTAAAAAAAATAAAACAAATTATTTATTCTTCATTGATTCATATCCAGGGTACCAACGTTGGATTAGGTTTCAGTAGCTGCGGAAGTGTCCCATACATTTGTCAGATAGATACTGGCAGACGCCATACGGCATGCCAATTGATGACACTATGCCCAAATACAACATCCCAAGGTAGTTAGTTATACCAGTATGGGAATCGTGGGCCCCAAAGAAATACCTCTGAAGGCCAATTCCTGGCCCTGAGTCCTTGCGGTAAATCCGAAGACTGAACTGACTTTAAACTTAGGTTGATACACTACAGTTTTCAGTCAGAAATCATAGCGCCTGAACTAGGAACACATTCCAGGAAGATAGCCATTTTATTTGACACTCATGCAAAGTAAAGGCAAAAAGCGAATAGAATTTTATGGAATCCCTGGCATAAGTGTTTTACACCCATGACCTGACCCTGGTAGAAGGTCTACAATTACCTTAGACGTTTAGTCTGACCAACTTGAGAGACTACACTCAGCTCTAGTCCAACAGTATCTCTGGTAAATAGGAAACAAGTTCTGTTGCAACGAGGTATGTGAGACCACACACCTCAACGACTATCAAATCAAAACTCAAGAGGTTGGAATTTGATCTTCTTCACCCAGCATACAGCCCTGAAGTTACACCTTATGATGCCCACCTATTCTGGTCTATGTGTTAATAAATTTGAAGAAGTTGAAAAAGAGTTTTTGTATCACAACTATCGAACTTTTGGCACTGCAGAGAGTTATAGAAAATGGGGGTTTATATTTCGAGGAATAGGTTAAAACATTTTGAATAACGTGTAGAGATTAGTGACCTTTAATCGATATCTGAATAACTGTTTTGAATAACCCTGGTAAATATATTTGTTGTTTGTTACAGCTGGGGTGTACAGAGTCAGTTTGGTCAATTCTGAAGTATCGCAAAGGTGTAACTTGGCTCCTGGGGAGTACACTCTAGTCGTAGCGTCTGAAGAGCTCCAGCTAAGGCACCATGACACGCAAAACCTCATTTACACTTGGCCTTATAGGTGTGTGTTTAATATTTGTTATTTGATGTTTTTGTTCTATTACATAAAACATGTTAAGTATGCACTTTTTTTATTTTTTTTTAAAGGTTTATACGAAGATATGGTCATAAAAGAGGCAGGTTTACATTTGAAGCCGGGAGGAAATGTGCGAGTGGGGAAGGCACGTTTGATCTTGAACATAATAACGCTCAAGAAATTTTCGCTTGCATGGCTGCAAAAATGGAATATATTAAGAAGAAGATGTCCTCGGGAAATCTGATGGGAATGGGCGGCAGTTGCACTAGCGTTGACAGCGATGATGCACTCGCTGTTGCTGTAAGCATGTCCGCGAGGTCGAGGAGCCCGCTCATACCGTCATCGTTCACATCGTTAAGCCCCAGCCTGGTCGTCACCAGCTCACACATTCCGGCCAAGCCTCCAAGAAAAATAAACCAACAGACACCTGCACCTCCTCCACTGCCCCCTGCACCTCCGAGGTACGATACGGTAGAAATAAGACAGGAGGCGTGGAAGACGCTGGGAACCAATGAAGCCGTTCACACCGAGCGCCAGTTCACATCCAATGCCGTTTTCACAGCCCCTGCTCATTCAGATTACGACAAACTCGATCATTTCGGCACTGTTTCCAACCAGGAAGTTGACCCTGCATATCAAACTATTTATAGACAAGACTCTTCAGGCTATGGTGTCATACGAAAAGTCAAAACACCAGAACATAATATTTACAACGAAATGGAATATGCAGTAGTCTGCAAGGCTCATAAAGTTTAAATCACATTATTTCTTAACTTGTTTAAGGTACCATTTTATTACTTATGTACTAAGTACTTCTTTTACGCTTTTAACAATTCATAAATGATGAATTTGTTTTATTCGTTTGTTTTTTCCTATTCACTTCTTATTTGTGATAAAGTTGAGCAGGTGGTTGTGTTTGTAATTTCTTTTTGCCTTTGTTCACTATTATTTTTTTTAATCATTTTTTAATACAAAAATTTTGAAAAAAAATAACTTTCTTTTTTAAACAAAATTTATTGACTGATGTATTTTCTTTTCAACTTTTTTTTTTCGCTTCTTGATCTCAATCAGTACTGTTTGATTTTTATAACTGAGCACTGGGCTTCGTTTGAAAAGTGAAATTATTTTGTAAATAAATGGCTCAATCCACTATGGAATTTAAGAAAAAATGTAAATAATTACTTCAAATTTTAAATGCACATTCTCTCAAAGAATGAACAATATTATTGAATTACATAGTCAATTATTGTATGCTTACATGGAGAATATTTTTAATAGTGTATAATAGCCTTTTTTGCAAAGCTTTTTTTTTTCAAAATTAAGATGTTTTGGTGTTTGACAACATTACAATTGACAGAATTGTTCATTATCAGGAGTGAGAAAATCTTTTGTTATAGGAGAATTTGTTGCCATATATATTTTTTTATATTACTATTGCTTTAAAATAAAGCAAAATGTCAATTATAAAATTAAATGATTATCTGTTCAAAATGGCAAAGTTGTTGTAATCTAATTTTTTTAAAAATTACAATGTTTAATATTGTTGTGTCTTTCAATTATTTTATTTTTTTATCGTCCCATACCTATATCTTACTGAGTTAAGTATTACCTTTATTTTTGAAGAAAAAAAACCTTATTGTTAAAATACTGAAAAAAGGATCAGGTATATCATCGTCTTTTACGGGTCAAAAATTTCCTGATGTTTTGCTGTTTTTACATACAATAAAATAACAATACAATACTTTACATACAATAATCTCAGCATGCATCGGCCTTCACAACAACATAGGATGGGTTCTGCTTTTCTTTTTCTCTTTGCAAAAGTCTACTTCTATTGCTATGAGTCTATACGTATTCCTTTGGAGTGTACATTGTCCTTTCAACAATCCTAACAGTACTATTCTAGCGTCTAACATCCAAGGTTTAGTAGTTCTATGATGGTCTATTGATTAACTTTTTTGTACAACTGTGTCCTGTGGTATGGACTATAGACTGTTGTATGATAGCTCAAAAAGTTTCAGAGCTGAAAGGATGAGTGAAATATCGGCACCCTCATTGCCCCACTTTCCTGATACCCAAAAATAGGTAATTTTTTTGTTTTCTCCAAATGGTTCTGGACTTTACTACCGATGAGGTAGTTGTCTCTTATCTGTGTTGCAAGTAGATAGCTATATTTTCGTTGGTTTTACTCAGCCTTTTGATCTCCCTAGCAGTGTTCCATCGCCACAGTCTCCATCAAAAAAGCCAGTGGCATGTAGCCAGCAGAATGAATTGTAATTGTTTTATTTCCTAGATACCAGCAACTGACCCAAACTCTTAGGGCCATCTATATACCATATACAGTAGGCATTAGCTGGGATCCCTTTTTCCTAATCTGCTCTATTGTGTATTTTCATTTCAAACATTTTTAATCACATTTGAATTTTAGGATCATGGTGTCGATAGGCATCCTTGTTTGCCTGAAGTTTCTCCCGATGTTTTAACTGCTCATTTTTATGCAGCATTAACCTGTGAGTAGGCTCTAGCTCTTCCCTGGATGAAGATATGTAGCGGTGGTAGAAAGAGGACTATGAGGATAGAAGTGGTGATAATTCTCATTGCGCCAGTAATGCCCAGCCATACTAGACTCTGGGCACTACTGAGGATCCTGACCACTCTCAGCTGTAATGACTTCATCACCAAACTACTATCTATAGGTTGTCATGTGTCTAACAACTGCAGTGTATAAATAACTACACCTTTTCCCATAAAGATGTTTACATCTACCAATGGGAATTTTCGGACTCACTGAGATTTAATTGGTGACTCCAAGAAAGTCTATGAACAAAGATGACACCTTCATATTTCATCAGTTGTGTGTGAATTGCATCCTCTCTGTCACGACCTCTGTAAAGCGTTCATTTAGCGACTACCACCAGGTCATCTGCATATTCCAGGCAATAAAGCCCTCATTACATAGCAAATAAATTGACTTTTTGGGCAGCAGTAGAGGTCATTCTCATTGTCCCAGTAATGCTAGGCTCTGGGCACTACTGAGGTTCTTGGCCACTCGCAGCTCTTATGTCTTCCTCTGCCAAACAACCAATCATAGGTTATCACGAGTTCAACAACCGCTATGTATAACCATAGGCACATCTATAGACTTAGCCCCAGCTTTTTTCAACAAAGGCGTTTACGTGATAATACATTGTGAATTGTTACATTTTAATTTTGTTTCAACTTTTTAACTTATGGATTTGTAAGGATTTAAAAAAAAATAAATAAACAATGGCTCTTAAATTTGTCATTATATCTTTAAAAATGGAATACTGAGAGATGAATTCGATAAAATTAATTACTTTTGGGATCTTTTTTCAAATTTATTTGTGCTGGAGGAGGAAGGATTTCGAATAAAGGAGGGCTTAGACTGCTCCAATGGAAATTTGATTTTTGTGAACCTCCAGGGTTTACTTTGAACAATATTTATGTTCCAGTGAGTGAACATAACAGTAAAGCCCCACGTGGCTGGTTATAATTTGTTTTTATCAGTTTTATTAGATTTATATTATTTATGAATTAATGTTATCGTTATGGAGCAAGAAGAAGAAGAATTGGGCCCATCTGAACTAGGAACTAGAGAATAGTGAGTATTGTTTTTATTTAAAAGTTTATCAATGTAGTTTTTAATATATTTTATTATATTAATATTGTCTGGTTTTGAAATAAAACTTTAAGTTGGTGTTCGATTTATGAAAGGGATAGGAAAAATTATATCAACCATGGTGATGTTGGTGAGATATGGTTTGGCGAAGAGAGTGAAATGAGAGTTTTAAGGTAATATTTGAAATGATTTAATCGCACCTGTTGTTATAATGACATGATAGATTTTCCATTCCAGCTGGATGACAAGAAACGATTTACCGAATGACAGCAAGATAATAGATTTGGGCTGCGGCAACGGCATGATGTTAATTGAGTTGGTAAATTTTAATTCATTTTTATGTCAAGACGGCTTTCTTACAGTTTCTTTTAGGCGAGGGAGGGTTACAACAACCTGACGGGAGTCGATTACTGCGAAGATGCTATTGAACTGTGCAAAAGTATCATCGAGTCCCAATCAATGATGATTTCGCTCAAGGTTGCCGACCTGACAGGAGAAGTGAGTAATCTGTATGGTTTCGACATCGCCCTGGACAAGGGTACGTACGACGCCATCAGCCTCAACCCGGAAGATACGCAGTACAAGAGGCAAAAATATATTCAAAATGTTGCAACGATTTTGAGAAAAAATGGATTGCTTATTATCACATCCTGTAATTGGACAGCCGCTGAAATCATTAAACATTTCAATGCAGGTATGAAAAAAACAACGTACACTTAAAGACAAAAAAAATGGACTTGTATTTTGTTGTTTATTTCAAACTATACTTATTTTTGTACTTGTTTTATGTAAATCAAATTAAACAAGATCAGAAATTCATGTCTTTTAATAAAATATTTAATTATGGTTTGAAAGAAAATTCACCAAAACACCAGAAAATCATTTATTGATAAATTAAAATTTAACTAACGATTTATTACTTAGTTTGCTATTAATAACGCAGTTTGGTGGCGATGGTGATTTTTTTTTTTTTTTTTTTCAAAGACACCAGCACCCCAAATATGATGATATAACGCATATTACCTACTATGGCCTCCCGGAAGGCCTTGCGTCTCCACCTAGCCTGCGAGTAAATAAATGATAGGATTTCATCTTGTGAAACAGAATCCCATTCTTCAACAAGAGTGGTTTGAGGCTGTTCAGTGTATGATGGAAGTGGCAAACAATGTCTAATCCGTACGTTTATCATGTCCCATAAGGATTTAGGTTAGAAGAACATGCTGGCCAATTCATTTTGGTAACCCCTACATCCTCAAAGTAATGAGCGACAACTCAATCTACATGCAGTCGAGCATTATCATGCATTACAAATGTCCCAATGAATGAAGCGAATGGGACGACTGCATCCAGAAGAACTTCCTCATTTTATCCAAAGATCCATTCAACATGATAATTCAGTGCGGGAATGGACGTTGATACTCCATACCATAACTGACTGTCTTTGAAAAGGCTGTGACTTACTTAAGGCACATGAAGCATACTGTTCCCCAAATCTCCCCACACATCTGTCTGCCAGAAACCGGACCGACACTCATTAGTGACTAGAACAGCCCCCTCCCCATTGTTCAAGTGGCTAAGCAAGATGCTGGTTTGCAAATAGAAGCCTTTTTACTTGATTTCTGCAGTAGTAGATAACCAGGGGACTTGAAGAGTCTAGGCTGTTCTCACAAAGCTTAGGTCTGCTGACTACCCTATCAAGGGTGCTGTTAAATTATGATTCCGTAGTGCAGTATGAGCATCGTTTCTATCTGTTGTATACTGTGGTTGACCACTACCTTCTCTCCGATCAAGACATAGGTGGCCCTAAACCACCGTAGACCATCGTGAATGGTAGTGTGGAACACCCAGGGACTTGGGTTATGTAACAGATGCTCAAAAGCATGATTTGAAGAAAAAAAACAAAAAAAACTTGTTACTCAAATGTATTGTTTCGTCAAAGAAAACATTAAAAAAATTAACTCGCTTGACAGTTAAGTTTCGCTCTAGAAAGGATGAAATTGAATGGATTTTTTTATTTATTTTTGTTTTTAATCTAAATACATAGTGTAAAACAATTTAAGTCAACTATTAATCTTTATAATTATGCTGGAAAATACTCAAATAAATACAAGTGTCGGGATGTTTAGTTTTTGTTTAATACAAATAATTTGACTTCATTTTCATTTTCCAGAGTTCAAACACAAGCATACTATTCCAACTCCATCATTCAAGTTCGGCGGAAAAGTCGGCAACGTCGTGTCAACTGTTGTTTTAGAAAAGCTAAAATGAATTTCAATAAGTTAATAAATTGTACAAACATGCTGTATATTTTTACAAAATAAACTCTTTTAAAGAAAAAAATGCCTTTTATTTTCAAATTAACAATTCAGCCAATTTTACATCGAATGCGCACAGCAATCATTTTATATTCTTGTTGACAATATTGCTTGGCACCTTCATAATGAAAACACTCTGGCTCTGGAGAGAGAAAAAATATTAAAATAATAAAAATTCCTGTGTGAAAATTAAGTTTGCCTTACATGTTTGCTTTCTGAATTTACTCTCCGAGTTGAAGTTTTCTTATCTAGTTCCTGGGAGGCAGCCGCTGTGAAATCTCATTTATCAATTTTTTAAAATCATGATAATAACAGACTTTATTTAATTATAATTACCTGAAATGCTTGTGATGGATATTTGCGGCCCGAATAAATCAGGGTCCAAGTATTGGGAAAAATTCTGCTCATCGGTTTTTAAAGAACTGTACTTGTCCAATTCCTTCTGGTAAACTTCAATTTTATTTTTTAATCTAAAGAAATTCAATCAAACCGACATTTTTCATTGTTATATGCTTTACAAAGACATTTGATTTGTGGGTTCCTATTGCTAGGATGCTAAATATTTTAACATAGAAAAATTATATGATAAAAACCCATTTAAATATAATGAAGGATGGACAATTGAAGTTCTATTGAGTATAAATAAATAAATATAGACTTCTTTTTTTTTAATAATATGATGCAGCCCTTAAAGTTTTAAATTTAGTTTCGCTGGATTCATGCTGATCAGTGCTTTTCTGATTATTCCATGCAAGCTTTCTAACAGACTTGTCGATGCCCCAGAAATTCTTTCAAACTCCTTAACTGTAATCTATGATTTTATGAGTTGCTTTATGTTCTAGTTTTATGTTAGGACAAATTTGTCATAGTCTAAATGTGTCATCAGAATAGCTGGTCTGTTAAATAAGTTTAGAAATTGTGATCCATTTGGTGATAGTCTGCAAGTTTTCAACAGGAAAATTTATAAATGTTTGAAAAACTAAGAGAGAGAATGTATTATTTTTACTTTAAATTTTAAACTTTGCTCTGCAATTTTATATTACTTATTTTGTATTTTATTGTCTTCTTTATATGTATGTATTTATCTTTATTTTGTTATAATTGTAATTTGAAATTTTCATTAACTTAAGGAATTTCTTTTTAAAGTTACAATAGCGAATATGAATTATGTTAAGTGACTGTCCTATCTTAGGGTTTTGACCTTTTTTGTACTAATTCGATGGATAAATAAATAAATATTAAGATGTAATGTTTGTACCTTTTGTACTCTCCACCATTTTCTGGTTCATTTTGTAATACGTGTTTGTCCATTTTAAGGTGTTCGATAATATCTAGTTGACTCTTTTGGTGCCTGAATTCTGCTTCAAGTGAAGAAACGCTATGCTCAAGTTGCCTTATCTCTTCTTTCATAAGCTTTGCAGCTGGCGATTAGAAAACTTTTACTAGTGAAGGAAACCAAAACTTGAAAGATAATAGTTTACCTTTTCTTCTTTTTGCCAATTCCTTTATTTTATTTTTATTTTCGATCAGGCATTCGTGGCGAGATAGAAATTCATTTATATCTTTTGAAAAATTAATTCTGATATCCCACAACTGATGCTGGGTGGTTTCCTAATAATAATTACATTCTATAACTACTAATAAACATTTTATATCAAACAATTAATAAATAATAATAAAAATACCAATTTAGCTGCCTGCGTTTCCAAATTTTCCTCAGCCGCTTCGACCATTTTGAGAAGTGCGTCCAGCTGATTTTGCATCAATTTCCTCTCGCACATTTTATTGTCGACCAGTTGATTTTTATAATGCATATTTTGAACAAGTTCATTTTCACTAGAAGCTATTTGAACCCTTTCACTTTCCAAAGACTTAATTTGGGCTTCCACTGCAAGACATTTTTTTTTTTAGATAAAATTGAAAACAGGATTAACAAACCCACTTTGAAAAGTTACAAACTTTCTTTTATTTCCTTAGTTAATGAAGCGGTTTTTAAATCGTTTTCCTTTATTTGTTGGATTATCTTATTAAAGTTTGCCATTATGTGCCAGCAAGGTTAATAATCTGAGGATGATGAGTCTTAAGAATAAAATACAATAAAATTTATTTATTCAAAGTAGTAATAAATTATTCAGGTTTATTTATCTAGCTTCAATAAACTAATTAAAACCAAAATAAATAAAAACAGAAACAATATCTAATTTAATAACAATATCAATATAATACCAATAAAGGTGAATTTATTAAATTTATTAAAAAGGGTGAATTTGATTTATTAAAAATATGTGAATTTGAATTGCAAAAAAAGGTGACTGAGTTGCAAAGGGATGAATTTTATTTACAAAAAAGGTGAATTTATGGTACAAAAGGGTGATTTTGATTTATTAAAAAAAAATGAATTTGAATTGCAAAAAAAAGGTTAATTTTATTTATAAAAAGGTGACTTTGATTTGCAAAGGGATGAATTTTATTTACAAAAAGGTGAATTTATGGTACAAAAGGGTGAATTTGATTTATTAAAAAAATGTGAATTTGAATTGCATAAAAAAAGTTAATTTTATTTATAAAACGGTGAATAATGTACAAAAGGGCGAATTTGATGTGCAAAAATGTAAATTTAATTTAGAAAAAAAAATGATTTACAAAAAACTATGAATTAGATAGCATAGATAGATTAGATTAGCAAAAAAGTGAATTTAATGTACAAAAGGGTGAATTTGAAGTACAAAAGGGTGAATTTGATTTATGGAAAAATATAAATTTACATTTGATTTACAAAAAATATGTACAATGTTGGTATGTTTTTTGTACAAAAAATGAATTTAATTTAATTTAATTTTTTTTTTTTTTTTTTTTTTTTTTTTTTTTTTTTTTTTTTTTTTTTTTTGCAAAGGGTTGAATTTTATTTTTAAAAGGGTGTCTTTGATTTGCAAAAGGGTGAATTTGATGTACAAAAAGGTGAATTTTATTTGCAAAAAAAAGTGAATTTGATTTACAAAAAAGGTGAATTTTATTTGCAAAAAAAAGTGAATTTGATTTACAAAAAAGGTGAATTTTATTTATAAAAAAGGTGAATTTTATTTGCAAAAAAAAGTGAATTTGATTTACAAAAAAGGTGAATTTTATTTATAAAAGAGTGACTGATTTGCAAAAGGGTGAATTTTATTTACAAAAAGGTTAATTTGATTTGCAAAAAAGGTGAATTTAATGTACAAAAGAATGAATTTAATTTGAAAAATTGTAAACATTGGTATTTGAGGTGGTTATTTGCAATTTAATTTTTTTTATCTAGCATCATAACCAAAATAATATTTTACTGGAGTCTGAGGTAATTCTTTGGTGTACCCTGGGTTTAATTGGGCACCTTGCAATTTAGAACTATCTTCGAACTGATGGTTTAGTTCAATGCTCTGATGTCTCCTACCTCAGGTATATCTTTATTTTTGCATTTCTCTGATCAAATTGAATTAAGTACCCTTGGTGAACTTCTGTTTGAAATATATTGGTGTACAATCGACTTGGAATACTTGATTTTTGGGCAATGCCATAGGAAATTGTAACATGGATCCATTGGGATACGAAACCTTTGTACCTTTATATTGGCCAGTGGTTGTTTTTTGATTTATCAGACCTGGCTATGAAGCTGGCAAGAAGGGGATGACCCATTCTAATGGGGTGTGGGGTTGTTCGATGATGAAAAATTGGGTTTGCCACAATCAGTTTAAGCAAATATTTAAATTTATTTGAACATGGGTATGTTATATTTTTGTTCGTGATTTTTGTCTGAAATAGGTAGAAATTTATCACCCATGTTGGGAAATCGATTTCAGTACAATGTCAGCCATTTTGAAAAGAAGTAATCAATGAATTTTAAATCCGTCACCAGTAGAGAGGAAAAGGTCTGCAGATCTTCTGGGAAAACCGAGCTCGGGCTTTTATTTCAGATCTTCCTCGGCCGGTTGAAATCGTTTAAATTCAAAATATCGCTCGCATGAGCGATAACCGTCCTGGAAGCGAGCGACACGTCCTCCTCACTCTTGGGCTCCCCTCCACCCGAGTACACGTCGAACGACGGACCGGACGGCCAGCCGCGACCAGACATGGCTCAAAATCGGCCGGTTTCCAACCCAAAACCCGGTCAAAACCCACTCCTCACAAATGTGAACCAAAGCTCGCTTTTCGAGGAGATCGCCCTCAACCCGATCCTCGTACCGGCGAGCACTCTTCAAGATCGACCAGGTAAGACGGCGTAACCTCTCACCTATCTCCACTGACATAAGGTCCCGTATTTTCCCCTAATTTCGTATTTTATTTCGACGATCTCTCCATAACGCCCTCGACTTTTATTTTTCTTCAATTTTTAACTCAATTTGATAATATTTTCGATAATTACAACGTTTTGATAACACTTAGGTTACACGACCTATTTCTCAATTGACGAAACGGCCCAACCCTTTTTTACCCATATTTTCATGGTAAAATATTGTCATTTTCTTATATAAAACGAGTTAAAAAGGAAGGAAATTACCGTCTTAATGGATATTCTATAACTTTACAATTTTCTTTTACTTTAAAGTATGATGACTTCCACACTGTTTCTATTAAGCCTAGTCCAGACTGTAAACAATCCCTTCTGAACAACATTGTACATCATACCTCAACCAGATCTTTGTAATTATTTCAGTGTTGGCCAATAATAATGTCGAGTGAATGTTATTACTGAAAATAACATGAGCATAGACATCTTGATATTGATAATCGGGTAACATTTAGAAAATTATTCATAAACATTATTTACACTCTTTAAAATGATGAGATTTTGTCAGATTTGAAATAGATGAAGGAGGTTTTAGAAATTCAACCAGGATACTGAAGCTCTGTAGCATAAGGATCATAAGATTGGAGGAAAAATTTCGACCGGCAGTGTGATTTTTCGTATTATATTAAAAGTTAAAGCTTTTGACAGATCGAAATGGCCCTTTACACAATGGCTCATCAACGACCAGTGTTTGGATGGACGAAGATATCCCAAGGACTGGTCACTGCTGATGACGTCATCTTTATGTACACTATAGTGGGCCATTGTGTAGAGCACATTTAAAGATGGATCAGGTTTTAGAAATTTAACCAGGGTGTCGAAGCTCTGTAGCTATTCATCATAAGATTGGAGGAAAATTTGGATGGTCAATGTGATTTTTCTTATCAGTTTTAAAAGTTTAAAGTTTTGACAGATATAAAAAGCCCCTCTACACAATGGCTCATTGTCGACCGGTGTTAGATGGGGCAGACGGCCCAAGATATTCCTGGGACTGATGACGTCCATCTTTAAGAACAGTATAGTGGGCCATTGGGAAGAGGACATATGAAAGATGGACCAGGTTTTATAAATTCAACCAGGATGCCGAAGCTCTATAGCATAAGGGTCATAATATTGACGGAAATATTTGGACAGTTAGTGTGAATTTTCTTATCAAATTAAAAGTTAAAGCTTTTGACAGATCGAAATGGCTCTCTACGCAATGGCTCATCGTCGACCGGTGTTAGATGGGGCAGATGCCCAAGATATCCCAGGGACTAGTTATTACTGAAGATGTCCACCTTTATGAATACTAGTGGGCCATTGTGTAAAGGACGTTTGAAAATTGACCAGGTTTTAGAAATTCGACCCACGTTTGGAGGGGCGTAGATATTCCAGGGACTGTCACTAATACTATAGTGGGCAATTGTCTAGAGGACGTTTGAAGTTGGCCACGTTTTTGAAATTTGACCAGCTATCCCAAGCCCTGAAGCATAAGCATCATAAGATTGGAGAAAAATTTGGATGGTCAATGTGATTTTTCTTATCAGTCTTAAAAGTTAAACGTTTTGACCGATCTAAATGCCCCTCAACTCAATGGCTCATCATCGCCCAATACAAACCATCTATGTGTAAGAGGGTAGGTTGAGCCAGTCATTGGCTGATGGCATGATGGTAGTGGTGAGGGATGTCTTTTGGAACGATTTTTCCTCTCGTGTTAATGAGATCCAACTTGTGCAAACAATAATTGCACAATAATTCTTACCCTATGCTACAACACAATGGCCCATCATCACCCAGTGGGTGGATTGACGTAGATGACCCAAGATATCCCAGTGAATGGTCGCTACTGATGACGGCTATCTTTCTGAACACTATAGTGGGCAATTGTGTGGAGGATGTTTGAAGATGGACCAAGTTTTAGAAATTTGACCAGCATGCCTAAGCCCTGTACCATAAGCATCATAAGATTAGAGGAAAATTTGGATGGTCAATGTGATTTTTCTTATTAGTCTTAAAAGTTAAAGGTTTGACAGATGTCCCTAATTCCTACCCTGTGCTACAACACAATAGTCTGTTCTAGATGTGTACTTTCTTATTAGTCTCAACAGTTGTAGCTTTAGAACGACTTCAACACCTTGAAAACAAATTGTACTACACGTGTGCATTTTATATTTACTTTTACAATGAAGTATTTGACATATTTCAAGTTTGAATATGAGACAGGTTTTATACATTTGTTCAGGATGCGGATCTAAACACCCCTCTACCCAATGGCTCATCTTCTCTGATGGTACTTAATCTTTTTTATAGATGTAAATACATAGGGTGTTTTTGACGACACCTTCTAGTGAGTTGTAAATTGATCTCAAAACGAAAGTCCTTTAGAAAATTATTCACATCTATTCTTAATTACATTACTCTCAGATTTTCAGTTTTCAAGCTAGATTATTGTATATTTCTTGTTGAAATTGTTTTGTCAATGATACTATTTGAGATAGAGAGGATTTTAGAATAATGTTAAATTTTCATATTACTGTCTTCTCCTTAATCTTAATTATTTGAAATAAATTACAGAAGCTTTTGTACAAGTTTTAAGTTTTCTGTGAAATGTTAAGTGCAATTATGGTTGTTTCTTGGGAACCACAGTGGTTGAATCATATTTGCTATGATGATGAGCGGTTCTGGGTTTGAATTGAAATTGAAACTTAGCCCATGGAATTGTAATTGAGAATAATTTGAACAGAGTAATGTAAATTGATTTGACCCCTTATTTGCAATATTCAGTGGTTAGTTGGTCCGTTAAGCCCTCCTGTACGACAGGAATTACTTTACCTTTTTTTATAATTAGGTTTCTTGCCTCAAGTTTAAGGATTGTATATCATGATTTTAGTGATAAATTGTGGCCTCAATTGTTTATATTCGGTTTTTTTTAAATATTATTATTTTTTGAGGGTATTTCAACTTCGAGGTTATTTGTACCCTTGGGATGCCGGTGTTGTTGGAAAAAAAAAAAAACATTTGTAAGTATGTCACGTTCAAATGCAGTGCTGCTGGATTCGAACCGAGGGCCTTAACCTTACACTGAAGCTGCCACCTAAACCATTGCTGCCATCGACACCTCCCACATTATGTTGTGGAAAATATTTTGATCCATTTCATATGTGTGTGCCCATCTGTCAGCACAATTATAATTGTAGAATATATTCTGCCTTTTGCCTATTCTTTTATCACAATGTTTTCGAATGTTCAGATTGTTGTTACAAAACTTGTACCACCCACCAGAACTAACTTTGAAAAATCGTTCCTTCTCACCAATTCAGTTCCATCCTCATCATTTCACAATCCAACAAGGTTTCAGGGTTTTTAACACTATCTCATGTGTGTGGTGATTAGTGACCATTAGTTGATGATCATTCAGAAATTAATTAAGGTTTTCAGTTGAGATAAAAAAGTCAATGGCACGAACGGGTTTCGAACCCACGATCTTCGGCTTGACACACCGCTGCTCTACCACTTGAGCTATCGTGACCTCGATCCACTCGGACACTAACTTCCCACCTCAACCCCACCTTTCGAATTTTCCCTCCTTTTTGCCATTTTTCAAATGTCGTGTAATCAATTTGATTCTCAGCGACAAATGAAATGGCCATGAAGAGCTTTAGTGAAGTATACTTCATTTTAAACTTATTAAATTCACTAGTTTCTTGATCCGCTTGACCAATTAATATCTTCCAATTAATTAAGGTTTTCAGTTGAGATAAAAAAGTCAACGGCACGAGCGGGATTCGAACCCACTTTTATCTTGTATTGCTTGAGTATTGCTTGGGTGCATTCATAGATAGGGTCTGGCATCTGGGCATGCTTCATAAACTTAAATACTTCCTACCCACTCCTTATTACCTTATCCTGAAAGCCTACCTAACTGCCTGCTGCTTCTCAGTTCTCAGAAAGTAGACCAACACAAGCCGGCATCCTACAAGATAGCATTGTTGGCCTCATCTATACTGCACTCCCCAATACCATCATCACTAGTTACACAGATGATAGCACAAGTTTATCCTTTATCACGAATCCTATCCAGCTATCTCCAACATCTAAGAATACCTTCAGCTTTATCGAAGGTGCAAAAAGTAGAGGACAAGACTGAATGAAGAAAAATGACTTTGAGAAAACTAGGAACATTGAGAAAGTCTTATTCTCCTTTGTACATCAACACAAAGATGTAGGTTATATCTAGACAGCAGACTGGCGTGGAATCCCTAGTTAAGAGGCAACAACTAAGACTTGACCAACTACAAGACTTCTAGGACCAAAATCCATCTTTAGCATCAACACTAAACTAAACTTATACAAAACTTTACTTGTGACCACTTTGGACATATGGTTGGAACTGTGGGGTTCTGCTAAGCCATCCAACATCCAACACATCCAATCCTTCCAATCAAAAGTCCTCAGATGGCATCAGGGTTTAGGCGGTTACACGGTGCTCTTCACTGTAAGGTAAAGGTCCAGCATTTGCACCTGACATACAAAAAAATTTTTTTGTTTCAAGAACACAGGCACCCCGAGGTTTCATTAACCTCATAATTGAAATACTCTCGTAAAAAAAAAGCCCTCAGACAAATCGTCAAAGCTCCTTGCTATGTCACTAACGTCCATTCCTGATTCCAAAAGTTTCACACCAATCTGTTGTTTCATCCTAACCCTACTGCTCTAGCCCTCTCTACACATTCCCTTTCTGAGAACCTGCCATTTCTCTTTTATCGATGATGGCTTCAAGACCTTGCCTCATACTGAGTGCCAACATTGGCTGATTTCTCCTCCAGGTGCAGCACTGACACTGACATTAATGTTAGTGCTGAGACTGTGTGAAAAAATTTGTAATATGTGTAGGGCAAAAATAAAATATTTTAAAAAATTGTTGCACAACTTGTACAGACTGAAGTTAACTTTGAAAAGATGAAAAATTTGGGGGATAAGGATAGCAAAATTAGAATTACATTAGTGACAATATTTAATGGAATAATTAATAAAAAAGTAATAATAAACATTATTTACAGTGCTAATTATGTTCTAAATGATGTGGTAGGAACATTTAAACGGTAAATGGGTGGAAAGCTGTGCTGCATCATTCAGCTGCTTGCGGTCTATGTCTTGGATATATTGTTAGCGTTCTGTGCTTTCTTCTACAACAACGCACTATCAGATAAACTATTAAAACTATTGTTAAAATCATTAAAAGAACAGCTAAAACAATTGCACTTATTTCACCAGCAGTCAGCCATTCTAAAAAAAAGCATAAATGATGAGTAATAATAATATTAATTTTATTTTTAATAGTCAATGGTATACTTTTTTCTATGTCAATAGTGAGTGTTCTAAAGTTTCCAAATACATCTTGGGCCATAACGTCGACTTTTGTGTGGCAACAACTTGAAGAATAGAATCCTTCAACAATTTCCCTCGTCCCGGCAATGAATTCCTTTCTAAGTGTAATCCCCACCGGCTCAGACTTGATTTTTATTAGTCCTTTTGAAAGAAAAATTAATAAAAGTATTCAAAACATATATTTTTATTTTTTTACCTGATCCTGAATCTTGGATACTGATATCTGCCCTCCATGTCTTTGAATGGCAGTTGTGCGGTGTTTCAGCCCCATAGCAATCTCCTCCATATGTATACCAGATATCTGGTCTTGAGGAATCACTAGACTAAAAATTACACAATCCAATTGATAAAATTATCGGTGGTTGGGGGACATTTCAGACTTACTTGCATTCCAGAGTAAAAGTATACATTTTTTGTGACATATTCATAAATACCACTCGACCCTGTCCACCCAGCCGACAAAGTGACTATGTCCGGTCCGGAGTTTCTTTGCCTGCTTTCGAGCTCTACTCGGACCAGTGTCGTCCCTCCCGAGTTAATATAGGCACTGCAAATAAATTCTGTTAAAACTTTAAAAATTTATTCCAGTAAATTCCAGTAAATTTGAAAATGGCTTACGAGGACAGTGGGTCTACTCTTCTGATATAATTGTTGTTGTCTTTTACGTTAAAGATGAATCGTGTTGGCACTTCCCGGTTGTTTGTCACCTCAAAATTAATGACCCCTGGGGTGCCTAGGTCTGACCAAAGCGTCGAACCAGTCTTAATTTCTATAGAGACCGGAAGCGGCCTTGGCTGATCGATGTCAAATGGGAGTATTCGTGTTAGTATAGAACCTTTAAATATTTAACTTATTATAATAAATATATTAATGCATTATAAATGAACTGCTGAATAATAATAATTAAAACTAATTAATTATACAGTTAATATTGTTATTTTATATTAAAAGAAGTTCAGGGATAAAAACATTTAGTTTTTTTGTTGAGTTTTCGATGAATACATCCCCTTTGTTACAACTCTCAACCTATTATAGTAATTTATAAACCCCCCCCCCCCCATGGTCACTGGTGAAGGTATTCTCCTTTTCTTCCGCTGCGACCTAAATGATCCATTCTCTGGAAAGTGGACTATCTTTAAGGTAGGAAGTTGGAACACTTTTTGGGGGTCCTCTTCGCTAATTTCCCTAGGTGTATCGCCTTTTCAAAGAGGCTTTATCATTTCTGGGCTAATGTTGTGCAGTCACATAGGACATGTTGTGATGCCTTTGCTGTTTCACAACATAGTTGGAATATGTTAGATTGGTAAATTTTCGTTTCCCTGGTTGAGTCGTTGAGGGACTTATTCGATTGTTTTGCATCTGGTGACGGAATGTTTGGTCAATCCTTCCTCCGTCCATTTGTTTAGTTCTGCTTGTAGTGTGCCAATTTGTGGTTTTGTGCCACTATGTGTGAGGACTGCTCCTGCTTTTGCTAGTTTACCAGCTTTTGTGCTTTCTACAACCCCTCCATGCCTTGGCACCCACTTCAGTGTTATCTGATTTGGTTTTACCAGGTGTTGAAAATATGTTTGGCATTCCCAGACCAGCTTTGAGTTGAAGGTAGATGACTCTAAAGCCTTCAGTGCTGCTTGGCTGTATAACAATAGTATACCTGTGTATTTTTTAACTCCTGTCAGGCACTTTTGTAGCCATTTTTATTCATTTTGTGTTAATAGTGCCTACAAAATATGGTAAATGCTTTGTGTATGTACGCAATAGTGACATACAAGAGATCTGAACAACCTGCACAACGATATGAAATCACACGTTTGCTAAAGAATATCTTCGCCTTCAAAGCACCCAAGCACAAGCCAACAGCCTGCTATAGACGAGCCAGCTGTTTGAGTTAGTTATTTAAAAGTTACGAGGTTGACTCAGCTAGTTAAACAAAGACATGAGTGGACTTGAGTGTGTTTATTATTATATTTAATAGCCAACTTAAAATTAATAGATGGATGCATTTGATCAGTTAAATAAAATGTATTTAGTAATAAAAAAAAATCTTATGCCAGAAACTGTCAAACGGACACTAAGCTAGTCAGTTTAGAATGCACTCGAGCAGTATTCTCTAATATTCCTGAAGTATTGCTGAATCGTGGAATGACAAGAACGGAAACCGACTCAATGAGAAGGAATGATTTTCTGTAAATCTAGGTTTGATAATCGGCATGTTAAAAGAATTCAATCAAGGATTTTGGACATTACTGGGAGAAGGCTGATAGGTTTGTAGGAGGATATGTAGGCTGGAGGTTTTTAGGTTTAGGTATGAGTGTGATTATGGAACGGTTATACATTTCTCTTCAGACTAAGGTAATTCCTTCAAAGCAAATTGCAGCAATAAGTTCTCAAAGGCAATACCAATCCTAGCCGGTGTACCACGAGGGATTGGTCCTATCCTAACCAATTATACTGCTGACCTGCCGATACATCCCAACCTACGACGATACCGCAATTGAATCCCCCTAACTCTAATCCTGCCCAAGTTGCCTTATTATCCATGAAGAATGGTGCAAAATGTGGGAAATGAAACTGAACAAGGACAAATTTACAAGGACAACCCATTTTAGGTTTACGGTTAAAACAGCCTTGCCCACGTCTACACCATTAACAGCAAGGAACTACCGGAATATTTAAAGATTTAGGACTGTACTACAGTAGACTGAAGTGGAATCCCCACACAAGACTCAGACGGCAACAACTAAACAGATGACTTGGTCAAATAAGAAGACGACCAAAATCAGGCACGACTGTAAAAAGACTATCTACAAGACAATAATTCGATCTTTTTGGAGAAGAACTGTGGGGTTTTGTGATGCCATCTAATAACCAACTAATACAAGCATAACAAAAGTGGTCAGAAGAATTATCCAAACTCCTTACTACGTTTCTAATCACTAACCACAATGACCTCAACATTGATATGTTACCGCTTCCTCAAGTTTTACTAAGCCCATTGGTCCCCCTCAACGTCGCCGTAGTGTTAGTGTCCGTGTTTTTATAACATAAAGAATAATTTCTAATGTGTATATTTATGTACTGGTTACAGATAGATTTCGAGTTAAACTCATAGCTCACCGGTTTTATTAACTTTCGGAGCTTTCGTTTTGTCGAACATTTCCGATTGGGTCTCAAGTTCCTCTTGCAACTCCATCTCTCTTTTCGGCCTCTTTCTCTCTCCTAAAATTTCAAATAAAACCACGATTTAAACATAAACAAATAAATAACAAAAACAATAAGCAATTTTGTTGCTTAAGAGACAATAAGGTTGTTAAAAAAATGACAAAGAAGATAAACTGTTAATAATCTTATTTTATTTACGCCGATAGCGATTAAACTAGCTAGCTGTAAGGCGATAAAAAATTGACAATGGTATCCGCACGGAAAAAAACAAAAAAATCAGCGAAATCACTATGAAGAACGTCAGTCATATTGCAACACTCGCACAAACATTACGTCCATGCATCATTGTGACCGTTGTGCACAAAAATGTAAATTAATTTTTTTAAGGTTAAGAAAAATGCTTACAAAGTGATTAATCATTATTTTTATAGATGACAGAAAATCATTGATCAGCGTTGTAAACGACCAATTCCTATGTTTTATCTACTGGCTAAAAGCTACGATTTACAAATCACTCTTAATTTAATACAAGATATATAATTATTTTTTAATCAATTTTTAAAACATTTATTTATAAGACATAATCAATACACTCATCGACCCGGCAAAAATATTAATAAAAACTAAACACATAAATTGGAAACCAAGAAGAAGGCGAATTTCATTTCCATCATAAATATGTGAAAATGTTTTTTTTCTCATTTTTTCCTTACAACTGACACACTGCACTTGGAGTACACATGTTAAGAAATCAGCCAACGCTTTCACTCACTATGAGGTATTTAAGGGCAAGGAGGTCTCGGTGAGTTCTCCGCATCGGAAAGTGTAGGCAACACTTGAGCAGTATGGTTAGGATGGACCGAGACCGAGAATGTGGAACTTTTGGATCAGTTAGTTGAAAAAAAGGAATGTTGAGGTTATCGCGAGTAGAGGTTAATGGCGAGGTTGAGAATTTATCGGCTTTTGGTCGGAAGGAATGGATATGCTTGATATTGGATGGCTTGGCGAAACCTCACAGTTTCACTCCGAACTTCTAAAAAGATTTCGGTCCTAAAAGCATTTTTAGTTGTCCAAATCTGTCAAGTTGTTATATCTTCTGTTCTGTTGAGGATTCCACGTCAATTTAGGTATAGTCCTAAGTCTCTGACGAGTGGAAGACGGTCGCTCCTTGTTATTAATGTATTGTGGCAAAACTGTTTCTTTCGATGTATGTCGGTAATTCCTTAGGCTTGGGTGCCTTGGAGGAACCATACAGTTCTGCTCCGTATGTTCGAAGTGGTCGCAGTTGTCTTATATAAGGTTGAACTTTGACGGACAAAACAAATTTCAGTCCTAAAAGTCTTCGATGTTTTCCAAGCAAGTTAAGTTGTCTCTTGTGTGGGATTCCACGTCGGTATGTGAAAGTAGTGTGTTGTCCATGTACAGTGGAGGACAAGACAGTTTTTTAAATCTAATAATACACCGGGTACATTTTTCCTCAGTCATTGATAAACTTAAGGTGTTCTTGAATGTTGAAGGTTGGGTAGGATTCGGGTTAGAAAACAAAATTGCGGTGTCATCCGCTAATGCTGGTGTTGCATGTATAGGAGTCAACAGTACAAATGGTATTCATGATGGGACCAAGAATTCTCTGTTGTGGTACGCCAGTTTATGTTGGTCTGATCGACTACACGTTGCCGCATCTCACTTCGAAGCAGCGGTCATTTAAATAAGATTGCAGGATAAAATAATAAAGGATGGGTAAGAAGCGTAGGAAAGATGACAGGGTGCCAGACAGGAGCCATCCAAGCATTATTTGATTTCTAGAGCGGAGGAAATAGTGTCAATCTGAACATGTTGGCTCCTGGAATGTTTGGGTCGGAGTATTGTATCTGACGAGTGGTGGTGTAAGGAGTTGCCTGCGTCAATGGCTAGCAACTATTTTGTTTACTTAGCAGTGTGTCTGAGAACCTACTTCTTCACAAATAGAAGAAAGGATGTTTGAGAATCGTCTTGCTGGAATCGTCTCCCCGTTGGGTGCAATATTGTGTTCGATCTTTTTCCCACAATATACCTTGTTTTTACACCCGTACTTTTTTGTTTTTCTGTATTAATCATTACACCTAACCAGATTGCTTTTTAAACCCAAATAAATTCAACTTGCTTCAGAAAATACGTTTTCCCAAAAACTTAGAGGTTTTGTAATATTTTGTCTGGGCAATATCGAGTGCTTTTGGCAGTTATTTATTGATTCACTGACGAAGAAGAGCTATTTCTGAGGAACTGGCACTTCTCAATTTAAGTTACTTCTTTTAGTACTTTCACTAACCCGGATTCCTGAAGATAAATGGACCACATCAGCTAGAGCACATGGTTGTAAGTGTTGTTGAGACTAATGAGCTTGTTTTTTTTTAGTATTAAACCTCTAAGTCTCATTCAATTTTTGACTTTTAGAATATGAAAACTTAAGTTTGATGATTCAAGTTTACGAAATCGAGTAGCTCGTGACCCACGAGTCGATGAACTATCGACGGCTGCTTGCCGGTCAATATTGTCCTTCCATTTCCGCATATGTTTGCTGTTAGCCTGGTTGTATTATTTCGATGTGACTTTTTACCCTGTACGGTACGGGCCAAGGTGTCAAAGGTCGGTAACGATATTTTTAATGATTTCAAGGGGTCAAGGTCGATTTTTCAAGTCCACGGGCAAATTTGTCACCATTTTTGGCCGGTGCCGTTTTTGAAAATGGTCCAACGGAATATTGTCGGTGTAAGAGAGGTGGCAGGAAGAGATACGAGTGACCAAGGACGGTTCCTATAATAAAATTCCCATCGCGCTGTTCAGTATCTCATGTGATTCGGACAGTGCGCGTAGTCCACTTCGCGGATTTCGCACGCGGGTTTTGAAGTTGTTGTGCTTTTCTAGAATTGCGATTGGATGTACAAAAGAAAATCAGACGTTCTCGTCTTGTTTATTTAATTTTTTTCAGGGGTAAGGTCCTTTACTATTTTATAAATTTTCTGACAACCTCGGCTTTTCGTTTCAATACTAAATTACATACAGTATCGTATTTTGTTGTTGTTGTTGTTGCTGAAAATTTTGTAACTTTGCCAAAATTCTAGTATTAATAGATCATAAGGTTAATTATTTCATTTGGACCATTCAAATTGATTTCTTGTTAATCCCACTAATACGAAAAACAGTAAAAACGTTGTCATGTAAATCTTTCAATCTGAAAAGCATTCTGTTCTGAAAAATAGAAAAAATAGACCCCTACATAGACATTCAAATGAACAACATACACATTTAGTTAGACATATTTATTTGTGAGATTTCCTCCTGTGGTCTAGGTGAAAAGCCAGTTGTTTGATAGTTACCAATCATCCTGGTCTGCCTATCCTCGCTGATTTTTGTTAATCTTTCGGCATTTCGCCATCTTCAATGTTGGATGATATCTGTCATATCACCGTATTTATTTATTTAATGTGCATTGTAATTTTTACATTGTTGATTCTGTTATTCAGTTACTTCCAGTGAAGAATAATGATGGACAAGTTAAATATGTTATAGGGATGTTGTCGATGAGTTGGACAATTTAGGTTTGTTAATCTGTGTGAAATATACTAACAACCCTAAAAATTTAAATCTGTTCGGTTAATTTTTTATGTTTATACATTAAAAAAATTCAATTTTCTATGGCCATTATATGAGTTTATGTAAAAAGCTCATCACTCTTCTATGCTATATTGCCCGCCCATAATAGTTACCTATCTGGCTCCATATTTACAATAAATTGGTAGATCTTTTCGTCGAAAAAAACGTAAATAATTAATTTACAATGTGAATTTTCAGTGATGTTATTTGAAAACGGAAAAGGTCAAATAGGCAAAGGACAAGTGTCGTTGCTTGTTATCCACCGATCGATAACTCTATTCGGATATAAGTTGAAAAATTTGACAATAATTTTTTTTTTAAATATTAGATAAAATTAAGAGAAAGGTCGGACTTGTTATTTCATAATTTAAAAAACAAATTAACCCTTTTTATTGTATCAATGACAAGAAATTCAATCTAGTGTACATCAATGTACTTGGCTCCCTCGGCTAGTTTGCCTGTCAAATTTTTCAGCATTTATAAATAAAATTTTACAAACACTCTAAAATTGAACTTTGAATTTTTTATGTGAAATGCACTCTTCGTGTGTGTAGCGCAATATATAGTTGATGCACTATAATTGTCAACATTATCGTATACTACACTTTAATTAATATTTTAGGAAATAGTTGCAATTTCGCTCTTGTTTTTCTTATGTTTATCTAACACTAAGTACATGTTACATCTAATATACTGGGATTATCATAATAACTACTTTAATAACTAGTTTTTAAATGAAACTAGGTTGAAAGTTGAACCTGAAGTTTCTTTGTGAGTTTTGGAGGCTACAGGGTGATGATCCTGTATCATCTTTGTCTGAGTCTCGTATGTTTCGGTCTGTCACACATATCGGCATTTAACAATATTGAATCGTGCTTGTTTCTCAAAACAATGATAACAACAACGATTTGGTTTTGCAATCTTTGTTCAAAGGGTCTTCGAGGTGTTGAACATGTAGTTTGGTCAGTTTATCATACATCAGTGTTTTGATCAGTGAGAAGCGTTTCGGCATGTTGTCGTCACAAACCTACCTCTGATGTTTGGATAGTCACGTGGTTATACATTTCTCATTACTTTCTGTGAGATTTCTTCCTGAGGTCTGTAAGGTGAAGAACTTGTAGTTTGGTCGTTGCCGATCATCCTGGTTCGCCTAGTATCGCTGTTTTAGACTGCCAGACGCGTTTCGGCTTCTGGTTAGCTTCAAAGTTGGATCTGTACGATTAACTAAACAGAAAGCACACAGATCCTGCATTGATGGCGAAAAGCGTAACGTGTCTGACGTACCAAAATGAGGATTGGAAGAATAATATGATTGGAAACGACTAAAGAACGTTCTCTAATTATATGATATTCAAACAGTGATATATTTGCAGTTTGAACGTTTGATCATCCTGGTCCTCCGAGCCTCTCCGTATACTCACTGGTTACTTAACTTTCAGTTGAATTGATTTGTATTATTCTGTTCAGCCTACTCTCTCTGTTTTGGCCGGTCAGGCGCATTTCGGCATCTCGTTAACTTCAGTGATGAATCTGTATGATTGAACTTCACAGCCCCAGCTCTGAAGATGGAGAGAAGCTGTCGTCTTATATTGCAAAACAATGAGGATAGCAATACTAAAATAATCAGAAACGAATAAATAACATATTGAATTCAGGTTTCTTTTTGGGATCTGCGGGGTGATGAACTGAACCCGCAGTTTGGTCGATTTCAAATATCCTACTCAGCCTAGTCTCGCTGTTTTGATCTGTCAACTGCGTTTTGGATTTTATCCATCTTCAGTCAGCCACTGCTGAGATTTGGTGAGCTGTTTGATTTTACTATTCTCAAATCTTATTATGAGAATTTTCATGAGGTCTGAAATCCGATGAATTTGCAGTTTGGTCTTTTGTGGTCTTCCTAGTCCGCCTAGCCTCGCTTTTACCTACTGTTTATTTAACCTGTAGTTTGGTCGATTCCAACTATCCTGGTCAACCTAGTCTCGCTGTTTTGGTGTGTCAGGCGCGTTTCGGCCTGTATCCATTTTCAGTTATCCACTACTGAGATTTGGTGAGCTGTTTGATTTGACCATTCTCAAATCTTATTAAGAGATTTTTCATGAGGTCTGAAACGCGATGAACTTGAAGTTTGGTCGTTTCTGGTCTTCCTGGTCCGCCTAGCCTCGCTTTTGCCTACTGTTTATTTAACCTGTAGTTTGGTCGATTCCAACTATCCTGGTCAGCCTAGTCTCGTTGTTTTGGTGTGTCAGGCACGTTTCGGCTTGTATCCATTTTCAGTTATCCATTACTGAGATTTGGTGAGCTATTTGATTTTACTTTTTTTCGTTTAGTTCTTTGCTGAATCGATGAATGATTCACTCAAGATGGCGAGTAGATGACGCCCACCTGACATAGCAAAACAGCGAGGGTTTGGAAATCTAAAATGATCCCTAACGATTAAACTATAATTGTGAGATTTCTTTTGGCCTCTGCGGTGTGATGAATCAGCATTTTGGTCGTTTCTGATCATCCTGGTCCGCCTAACCTCGCCGTTTATCTGGTTACTTAAGCTGTTTGGTTGATACCGATTATCCTGGTTGGCAAAGTCTGGCTATTTTGGTTTATCAGACGCATTTTGGCTTTACATTATCTCCACTGTTTAATTTGCATAATTGGTTTAAAGTGAAAATACACAGGTCCATCGTTGAAGATGGCATTTCACGTCTGACGTACAAAACCGACTAAACAATATTCTCGAACTGAGGTTTCTTCTTAGGCCCTGTAGTGACATAAATCCGCAGTTCGAAGTTCTGATCTTCCTGATCCACCCAGTCCCGAGTGCTTCGCAGAAAATACACATTCCCAGCACTGCACTGAAGGCGGCGAAGCCCAAACGCGCCTGACATAAGAAAAACTGCGAGTGTAAGAATTCTAAAATGACCGAAAAGGACTAAACAGCATTCTTAAAGTTGGGAGAAGATCATTTGTCCAGCCGAATATGATATCCAAAAATTTAGTATCTTATTGGGTTTTTGACTATCTGCGTGATTTCATACAGCTTCATATCTTGTCATTCGCTTTTGTATTTATGTGATTCTAATCGATTATCTTTACCTAACATCCTTAAAAAAATAGTCCATTTGAAAAACTAATGTAAATAACAATGTGTCGGGGGATTGTGAAACGGTAAAGGAAAAAAAAATCAAAGATAACGTAAATGGAGATACGTGATCAGGGACCTTCCCTGTCTTTAATCTATGTTTTCACTTTCTTTATTGTCTAGGCAAATGTTTACCTAAATGACGAACCCAGGGTGGCCGTTGCACAATAACCGATAGGAGTTGGTACGCATACTATCCAAGAAAAAATTAAAATTAAACTTATATTCAACTAGCCTTCAAGATGTTCCCTTTTAACGAAAAATTTATAAATTTGAAATAATAAAACTTCACGAAAACAAGACACAAAGAACAAGATTAAAAATAGGCTTTGCCACTTTGTACAATTTGTACGTTAGTTTTCTCCTGGAAAATGTATATTGCCTTTTGAAATACACCGGTTGATAAACGTTATCAACTCTATTCTAAATGAAATGCTAAAAAGTCTAATAATAATACAAGAAAAAATCAATAAATATAATATAGAACATATTTATAAGACACATCCTTTTTAATCAAACGTTGTAAATGGAGTATATATGACTTTTGATTATAATTTCTTTATAATTAAAGAAAAGCAGCCAGACTGTTTGGCACAAAGGTCTCATATTTAAACTCGCGTCACATCAATTTCCGAACTATCTAACACATTTAATTAGTAATGTTCCAACAGGAAATTGTTCTGTTTGATGGTTAGGTAATGTTTGATGGTTAGGTCACCTTTAAGGAGTATAAAAGCTGGGGTTCCCCAAGGGTCCTTTCTTGGACCAACCTTATTTATCATCTTTATAAATGAAATTTGCAAACTAAACACTACAAGTGAACTGACTCTCGTTGCCGATATGACCTTTATAAGAGCCTCTTATTAGGTTGATTCTATCTGCACAGAATTATCAGTAACTAGGTGTTTTAAATATTTTGAAAAATGAATAATCAGACTTAATGGTAGCAATTAAGGTATCACATCAATTGAGGCAAAACTGTTTACTCATTACCACCCATTGTCAATCATTTCTAAATAAATAACTCGCCAATATCGTAGACTAAGAATATTAAACACCTTGGAATGTATCTATCCAGAGTTAATTTTAGTTACTACATAAAACAGTCCATCTTAAGGAGCCTTTACCCGGTCAAATAAAAAACCTATTTATGAACTATACATACGTCCTACTACATATGGTATTCCCATTTGGAGAAATATGTCTAAATCCAATTTTGCTAGGCTCCAGGTAGTACAAAATGCTCCTGTAAGAATTGGTATAAATCTAAGAATGTTGGACGTTCTAACCCATCTAATCCTAATATACCAAGTTAAAAAACCCACGTCTAAAGAGCAAATATGATACATTTTTATAATTCATGCATAAATAACCCATTTGTACATATTAAAAACTTTTTTGTTCATAAAAATAAAATGCTTCTAAAAAATAAGTTCAAATGCTTCTTATATTTAATGCAGACTGGGTGAGAAAGGTATAACGATGCCCTAGAACCAACTTAATAAACAATTATCCAGATCAGTTGACTGTAAATGCTTGTAAAACAATTACGATCGAATATATTTTTAATAAATGATCGCCGTTTTCTAGTAAATACGTAAAAGATGAAATTGACTAAAGATGACAAAGTTATGATTTCATACACATGCTTTACCCTCCGACAGTTTGTTCGCAGCCCAACTCAGAATATTTCAATGTACCGACGAAATTTTTATAAAGAATTGTATTAAAGTATAATAAATTTAAATACCTGCATGAGAGGGTTGGGCGAGTGGGATGATCAAGCATATCAGAAGACAACCCGTAACCCCTGTACAAAAGCATGGAAATGTTTTTTTATTTTTCTCAATTTTTGTCTTGAAGTTAATTCCTACCTTTCATCTTGGATGAACGTCGTTCGACTGGCTTCCCACCTGACCTCCACCCATATATGCTTTACTTATGTTGACTCTGGTGTGTACGTTTATAAAAGCATGCGTCATCCGCGTCCGTTTGTCTCTCGATGAGAAATACCCGCGACTAATGACGGAAATGAGGAATCCCAAGATAAGACTCGATTCTGAAGTGGAATAGGATATCGTGTTGAGTTGTTTGGTGTATTCCTGGGTTCTGCGGGGCGATGGCGTGCAGTTTGGTCGGTTTAGATCATTCCGGTCTGACTGTACTCCCTGTTTCGGCGTTTAAACTTTTTTAATGGTCTGTTATTAAGTAAAATAACACGATCACTGAAGGCAACATGCGTCGGTGCCAAAACAGCGAGGATAGGCGGACCAGAATAGTTTAAAGCAATTAAATTGATTTCTGGCAACGAATATTCGTCCTAAGACTTACAACTTTTTACCACTTGTGGTTGGCATTGGCCCCGGTTTTTTTGGGGTCGGCGATTCCAGTGGTTGGTCTAGGTGCTGGAGTCTGGAATTTTTTGCGCGCGTTCAGGGTTTTCTTTGCCTGATTCTTTTCAGGATTGGCTCCCCCCTTTTGTTTTGTCATCTCTATCGCCATCTTATGCCTCTGAGTACCTGAAATCTGATTGGGTTTGAGATGTAGTTTGTTAGTCTTAAGATTATCCTCTAGCTCTTCGTTTGAGGGTTTGGAGGACTCCTTTATCTTCAGTTGGGTAGTGGTGTCTTTCTTTACAGGTTCCCCTCGTGTTTGTTTTTATTCGGGTTGGTTGTCATGAGAGAACTAAAGGTTCTCTGAAGGTGTCCTCTCTCTGTTGTTGAGACAGTAATCCCTGTACCATTCATCAGTCATGGGTGTGGCATAACACCTATGTTTGGGGTTGGATTATGGGATTAGGATTAGGAGTAGTGTAGGAGTGAAGGGGTGAGGTGGGTTTAGGAAGGGACAGGTCCGGCTCCTGCCCCGCCATACCTTCATCCATCTGATTATTTAATTTAGTACCCCTCATAAGCTGTGAGAAGGTGGAAAATCAGCGTTCAGTATGAAAGAGACACATAGTACCCGTTCGTACCAAACAGCAAGGATAGGCGGACCAGAATAGTCTAAAACTGCCATACTACATATCAAATTGATTTTTGATGAATATTAGTCCTAAGACTTACAACCTTGTACCACCTTTGGTTAGCGTTGGCCCCAGTTTTTTTGGGGTTGGCGATTCCAGTGGTAGGTCTAGATGCTGAAATTTGGAAATTTTTGTGTGCATTCAAGGTTGGCTCACCCTTTTGTTTTGTGAGCTCTATCGCCATCTTATGTCTCTGAGTCCCTGAAATCTTATTGGGTTTAAGGTGTATTTTGTTAATCTAAAGATTCCCAAGTGAGGAGATTATCCTCTAGCTTTTCTTTTGAGATGATAAGAGTTTGGAGGACTCCTTTATCTCCAGTTGGGTAGGGGTGTTTTTCTTTATAGGTTCCCTGGTGTTTTTTTGGTTAGTTCCCACGAGTATGAGGAATCTAAAGGTCCCCCTGGAGGTGTCCTCTCTCCATTATTGAGGCAGTAACCCCTGTACCATTCATCAGTCATGGGTGTGGCATAACACCTATGTTTGGGGTTGGATTATGGGATTAGGATTAGGAGTAGGGTAGGAGTGAAGGGGTGAGGTGGGTTTAGGAAGGAACAGGTCCAGCTTCTGTCCCTCCCTCCATACCTTTCTTTCCGTTGGTTTATTTAACTGGACACACTCGTGTACAAGCTCCGAGAAGGTGGAAAGTTGTTTGGAATTAAAGGCTGATAAAGGTACCCGTCTGTACCAAACAGTGTGGATAGGTGGACAAGAATGGTCTGAAACGACCAAACTTCGTATCAATTGATTTTTGGCTACAAATATTTGTCCAAACTCAGACTTTTTTGCTGAACAAAACATGTTTTAGAACATGTCCTTATAAAGGAAGAATACTCATTTCCCTTTTTTTTTCCTGTTGCGACAGTTAAAACTGAAACAAATTATGGCTGGTGAATTCTTTGAAAATTTGATCTGTTCACATAACTCAAAAATACAGTATATTTTTTCAATTAATTGTCAAACAAAAATTTGTTTTAAAACACAAGATTTTATATTAATTTTGAATGATAATTTTTAACAATGAATATAAAATTTTTGTTGTATTTTTTGTCATTTCCTATCATTTTGTTCTACCACCTAGCTGTTTTGGTCTGTTCGATATATTTCTGCTCCTCTTCATATTCAAGGCTTGTTTAACAATAATGCTAACTTTATGCATAATTTTTCTAATGTCTTATAGTTAACATACATACTTAACAAAAATTTGAAAAACATGTTTTTGCTTACTATTTATGTTTGTTCCTAATTTTATTATATTTTTTACTCTTCTTTTTCGGTTTTGACTTTTTAAATTTTTTGGGTTTCTTTTTAGGTACTAGACGACCATCAAACACATTTTATTTTTATTGATATCGATTTCGGGGGCATCAGCCTCGTTTTGTTTTTGGAAACGCATGAAACATTTTTTTTTTTTCCAGATGCTGCTAAAACAAGCAATGTGCAGGAAACAGTTGGTGGAGGTGGCATTACAAAACCTGACCTATTAAGTCAAGAATTTACGGATATACCACTTGCGGGTGGAAATCAGCCACAACCACCTGCTCCGATCGGACCTCCTCCTATGATAGGCTTCTCTCGGGTCCAGAACCTTTCTAGGTATCCTACTAACACAACATCTCTTTTTAATACCATTCCCAACAGTACGACGATGTTTTCACCTTTCCCTGTGGAAAAAACAGTAAATGCCACTATTTTTGTACCGCCAGTTTCTCAGATTGGCCCGACAAGTTGCAGTCCTCTTTTTCAAGCACAGCAAGATGACCATAGTCCTAAAACTCAATATTCTTGTTCATCTTCTAATTCCCCAGATAACATTTCAAATCCTCAAGTATTAAATCCTGTATTGCCAACAGGAACATTATCTTCTTCAAGTTCTTCTATGTTCAAGCCTGTACAAAATTCTTCAACTGGGGCAAGTGTTCAGCCGATGAGTGGGCTGTCTATGCCTCTTCCACCTCCAAGTAACACCCATCCTTATAATAAAACTCCTTGTTCTTCAAGTTTGCCATATCCTTCTTTTCAGAAGAGGGCTCCTTCTGTTTTGCAACCCAATCTGGGTCCTAATGCTCCTAGACTGTTTCACCCACAACCAGTCAGCTCAGTTTTCCCTTCAGATCATGTGCCGGAAGCAGTTGATTCACCTGGTGCAGCAGGTTTAATTACAAACACTGCATTATTTCCACCTCCATCCACTCCCCCTAGCTTCACACCATCTTCTACCCCAGAAGTAACTCCAAATGTTTCTGACACCACAGAAACACCGAAAACAGAAAATCCTTCAGCTAGTGCACAGGGTCCCCCTACTCTAATACCAGATGGTGTATCAAATTTTCCTACATTAGGTGGTGATTTTCAAGCATCTCTTACAAATACTCAAGTGAAGCAAGAACAATCTACTGCAACTGCAGTCTCTGAACCTGGAGCCCATTCAGGCTCAACCCCAATGCAAAATGCTTCATCTCTTTTCCAACAGCTACAACCTTCCACTGATGTCAGCAGCACTGCTGGTTTTTTCTCACAGATACCCCAGAGTTCATCTTCTCAACAGCACTGTGACAATTCAACGTCTAAGCCAGCTGAAGTGTCTTCTAGTGCTCAGCTGTATTTTCAATCAGTACCAAATATGGTTAATTACCCTGAACAGGCACCTCCAGCTTCATCTATGCCCTTAGTAAATGCTTTGTTAACATCTCCCTCTCCAGATGATGCAAAATGGGCATCATCCAGTGATGCTAGTACATTTCCACCACCCTCTACTCCCTCAACCTTTCCAACATCCTCTACCTTCCCACCATCTGCGTTTTCATCATCTTATACATCCTCAACATTTCCTCCTTCATCTATGCCTACATTTCCAATATCATCTTCTCCTTCAATTTTTCCATCTCCATCTGCACCCTCTACCTTGCCACCATCAACTTATCCTTCTACCCTTCCAAAATCATCTACATTTCCACCTTCATTTACACCCTCTAACTTTCCACCAACATCTTCTCCCTCTACTCTTCCACCAGCATCTTCTCCCTCTACTCTTCCACCAGCATCTTCTCCCTCTACTCTTCCACCATCATCTACAACCTCTACCTCCTCACTACCTTCTACCAATTTTACCTTTTCACCATTTTCTTCTCCTTCTACTGTTCCACCACCTTCTATTCCATATAAAGTTCTACCTTCATCTATTGCCCCTGCTTACCTACTGCCTTCTACATTTCCACCATCTTCTACATCCTCAAACTTTCCACCACCTAGTACCATCCCATTGCCCCACCTCCCTTCTTCCTTTTCTCTACCTTCGAAAACTTCATTTCCACCATCTTTACCCACTGTGTCAAATATGTATGGTTCAACTGAGCCTATCCAATCTGCTGTTGAAGCTGTCAGTTCACCTCAGCTTTCTTCTTTACCATCATATAACAGTTGTTTTCCATCTTCTTCAGTGGCAGCATCAAGTGCTCCTTTTCTCCCATCTACATTCACATCTTCAGTACCATTGTTTGGTATAGGTCAAACTGTCAAATCTTCAGAAGCAATTTCAAATGGCCTCACCGCTCTACCGACAATATCTAATGTGACTCATTCTTTTCCTCCCAGCCCTATCGCAACAAGCACTAATCTCCCTACATCAGTTATGTCAAGTAATCTAACCTCAATCAGTCCTCAGTCTACGACGCCGTCTACTCAGGAATATTCCCAGATAACACAGCCAGACATTCACGTACCGTCTTTTATGAGTGTTCCTCCTTCCTCAACCACTTCTCGACCACCTCTGCTTCAACCTTACCCTCCCCCTTTACAGACATTTTCTGCGCCACCAAAGGATAAAAATTCTTCACTTTTAACTCCACTGCAATATAACAAATTCGAACTTAACTCACAAGAAAATAATGCAACTGAAACAGATTCAAAAGAACAAAGTGAGACTGTTGATGAAGATGAATTAGAGCAAATTCCGTTGGAAGATACTGTCCCATTTTACAATCCTGCATCTTTAAACATTCATAAAGCACTACCAAAAGAAGGTATTTCAATGAAGCACATCATTCAATTCTCTTTAGAAACGTAACTAATTTTATTTATAAATCTAGAAATTGGTAATACATTTCGACTTAAGAGTGGCCTGAAAAGGCCGACATATGCTCCAGTCCCTGACTTGGAAATTGCACACCAGAAAGTCGAGCCAATGACTCAGGCCGCTCAATCAGGTGAGGAAACCGGCAAAAACACCTCGGCCAAAATTGAACCGATGCTGTCTGAGAAACTGAACTCTCCAGAATTAGTAAGACCATCGAGTGATTCGCGTCACTCATCCACTTCAGAAACAGTTACACTTAGTGCAGTGGTAAGTCATTTTTGAAAAATTGACCTTCAGAATGACATATATCATGTTTGAATTGATCATACAGGGAGCGGAACAAATGTACAATCCACCCTATCATCATTGGTTTTTTAAGAAAGGCGGTGAATCTAAAGCACACTGGCAGCCGTTTTCTAGGATTGATTCATTAAATTTAGAACAAGCGTTTTTATCCAGTAAGTGATGTTCAAAATATCCCAGAATTAACTTTAAAGAATGTGAACTGAAGAAAATTTGTTTAATTAGATATCACACAAGAAACCACTGTTTCTACCGACGGTGGTAGATATGATGTCGAGGTACTACAAAGGAGGAAAAAAGCAGTTTATTGGGAAGAGCCGGTTGGCGAGGTAAGGAGGTGTTCGTGGTTCGTCAAAACACCCATAGACGGAAGGTACATCCCTTATGACGAGAACATAGCCGAATTAATTGAGGTAAGATCTGATTTACAATATTCAACGCTGAACAAATAAAATGCATTTTAATATTAGGGCGAGTATAGAGAAGGATGTCTGAAGAACGAGTGGAACAGGCGGGTCGAACTAGCCGATGGGGAAGTCATCATTTTACACTCGCCTAATGCCATGGCCCATCATCAACGTTCCTCCTCACCCGACACCTGGGGAAACGCTCCGGTGAGTTTATACAATATTTCTTCTAATTCTATAGTTATTTACTTTTATATCTATGTTCTACGCAGCAATGAGAAGCTAATGCTTGTGTGCATTATGCTCTTAAACATAGCCTGGACATTATTATTTTCTTCTGAAAAGTTTAAAAGTAGTTTACTGTTTACCAGACTTGCCTAGACATCTAGAGCCCAAAATTTATTGAGTTGGTGCAAAATTAACGCAGGTTTTGAAAATTGGTTTATTTTCGCAGGTGCTACAAAGCTAAATCCTCAAATCTAATTTATGGATTATAATAAATACTTGTTATCTTTTGTACAGAGCATTTTATTTTATACTGAATTTTGTATATGTGAGTGCCTGCAAAGTTAAACTATGTCCAAACCAGTTTTTATCAAATTTATTTGTACCAAGTTAAACTTTGACGAAGTGCAGCTTAAAGTGCGCGTAACATCAATCATTGTTCACGGAATACTGCTAATAATTCAGGTAATTCATTTAAAAAGATTGAAAACAGGACTGGGTTACGGCCTTGGCTACATGTAAAAATTCTGTTAGCTCATCATGCACACTAACTTTTTCCCTAAAGGCATTTTTTTTAAAAGTCGGAGGATCTCACCCGGGCAGATGCTTGGCCAATGATGGATGAAGATCCGTTACATAGCCCAAGTCCGGGGTGTGCTGCCACGCTTTACCATCCGTGATGTAATTTAACTGCAGTTTATAGTCCCGGAAGTCTCAATCGAAGAGACCACAATGTTCGAAGGGTAGATACGATCGTTTTTCTTATCATGTTGCCATCTAACAGATTTGTGTTAGGCAGTCAATTCCAAATGGTCCTTAATATAAGGGTGAGTCATCAGGAGGCGTTGTACATCTCAAGACATCATGCATCAAGTTCTCTATTACTGGAGAGGCACCGAGTAGAAAACCGATTATTCACAAATCAGCATCTCCTTTGTCACTTGAACAATAGTAGGCTGTTCTCTTCACAAATGGGTCTGGTTTGGTTTCTGGTAATGAGATGGCTGGAACCGTGTATGGAGAAGATTTGAAGGACACTTTGCGTCAGTGAGTCACAGCCTTTTCAAAGACAGTCAGTTATGGAGTGGCATCAGGTCCACGCCTGTACAGAACTAATTATCAAACAGCATGGATCTTTGGCTGCTATTGGGGACAACTTAGTGTAAATGCATAATGCATGTGACTCGAGTTTTCACTTATTGCTTGAGGATAAAGGATTACTTCAATTATTTGGTCAACACATTCTCCTGACCATGAATCCGATAGAACACTTACGGGACATGATAAAGAGTCTGATTAGACATCAATCATCGCCTCAAACAAGCGTTGAACATCTTCTACTCTTGTTGAAGAATGGTATTAAGTTTCTCCCAAGATGAAATCTGGTTGTTTATTTACTTGCTGTCTAGGAGATGCAAGGCCAGAGGAGGTAATCTGTGTTATTAAGAGCAAAATTAGGTTATAAATTGTTAGATAAATTTTAATCTTTCTCTGAATGATTTTCTGGGGTTTTCGTGAATTTTCTTTCAAACCATCATAATAAATAATTTTTATTAAAACTCATGAATTTCTAATCTTGTTTAATTTGGTTTACACTAAAATAAGTCCATATAAGTCCATGTTTAGCGATCCTAATTGACCAAAATAATTATTCTTTTTATCTAAGGTCTGAAAGTTTGAAAGGTTGTAGGCTGAGATGAGGAGTCCGAGGGGATCAAAGTCACGTTAGCTCAAGTGGTAGAGCAGCGGCGTATTTAGCCGAAGATCGTGGGTTCGAATCCCGCTAGTGACACTGACTTTTTAATTCCAATCAAGACCTTAGATAAAAAGAATCATTAATTAAAATGTACAATAAAATTACATATTCACTGACAGGCAAAAAAATTTGCCCACTCGTTAAATAACTAGATTTGTATATATTTTTATATATTAAATCAAAGTTTCACGTTTTTTAACATTTCATAATTGCGTCTTTAAAAGTAAAAAAATTAAAAAACGAAAGAAAAGTAAATTGCTAAAGAAAATGAAAATAAAAAAACGACCGCCAGATAAAATATGTTTTAGATTTTTAATTAAGATTTCAATATTGCGTGTTTCCTCCTCTTGCCTTATTGCATCTCGAAGATGCCTCGGCATACATTCTACCAGACCAGAATTGTCTCTTTGCTGGAGGTTACCACGTTCTTCACGAAGTGTCCTTTCAAGAACGTGGAGTTATCAGGAAGTGATGAACGTGCTCTTTACTCGTCTTTTGAGGTTATCCCATAAATGTTTGATTTGGTTCAAGTCTAGAGAATGGGCTGGCTAAGACTCTGATGTTATGCTGTTGAAGGTATACGTTTGTACTATGCAAGTGACATTGGACGGGCATTATCGTGCATTAGAATAGGATATTCCATCGAGGATAGGCAACGCATTATGTTCCAAAATTTCATCCACATAGCGAGTGGCCGTCAAAGACCCTCCACGAACAACAACCAATTCTTTGCAACTCTCCATTGAAATTCTCACCCACACCATCACTGAGCTACGTTGAAAACGTCGGCTCTGGGAAAAATTACAGGCTTCGTACCTTTCATTTCACCTTCTCCTCATTCTTTCTCGCCCATCTAGAGATCGTAGAGCAAATCTACATTCAACTGTAAAAAGTATAGCAGACCTTTTGTCCAAAGACCAATGGCTGTGTTCTTGAGCAAATGCGAGCCGTGCAACTCTGTGTGGTCTGGTCCTCTTACAGGGGCGAAAAGCCATCAGTCCATATTGATTTCATCTTCTTTGAGCAGTGCTTTCAAGAATTTGGTCACCTCGAACTTTCTGGAGCTGATGAATCGCTTGAACAACAGTAAGGTGCCGGTTTTGTAAAATTCTCAAAGTCAAAAAATGGTCATCAAGTGGTTCTGTTACCCTAGGGCGTCCAGAACCGGGTCTTCTGTGGTAGGACCCAGTTTCTCCGAAACGTCTAACAGCATCTCGTAGAATTTCATAGGGAACTCAGATGGCATTAGCTGCATACCTGATGGTACGTCCATCATCAATAAGCGCTACACCACGCGCAAATATCCTCAGCACTAAGTGGCATTTTTAAGTTTATAAATTGAAATGAAGTTTTAAAACAAAGATGAAAACTAAACAGTTTATTGCTTCAGAATTCAAACGAGACTGAATAAACATTTTAAATTCCCATGTAGAAATGTGTGGTGATTAGTCTGTCGATGATTATTCGGAAATTGTCTGTTGTGACGTTGGTTTCAGAAAAACGTTTTCTTTATCGTGTCAATTGGGCTCTCTCAATACAACACACAAGAATGGCACAATTATGGAGAAAACAAACTCTTTGAGCCCTGAAGATGATCTTAATAAAGATCGAAATGTTGGCACGATAAAGAAAATGTTTTTCTGAAACCTACATCACACCAGACCGCATCTCACGATTTCCAAATAATCATTTTAAATTCCGTAAAAAGTAAGCATTGAAAAATTCTTTATACTTGTTTTGGATTAAGGATTAAGTGTTTACGTCTAATCGATATTCCCAATTTAAACCATAGCATAAAACGAATATTGTTTGATAAAAACAATGAGACAAATTAAGGGCAGAATTTTCTTTTATCGAGAAAATACAAAGAACCAGTTGGGTGGAATTTTTTGTCTGTCAGTGTAGTTTGAAAAGACAAAATCTGAGTGTCCAGTTTTTTAAATTTTTGTCTGAGTGTATTTTTTGGGGAACTCGTTTGCATTACTGATCATAATTTATCATAATAATTTAATTATTTCTATAAAAGAAAGGATTTAAAGTGGGGGTGAGTATGTCAATTCACTTTTTGGAAAAGATAGTTCTACTCATGGAAGTTTCAAGCAGTTAGCTGGATTTTGAGTATTAAATGCTCACCATGAGGATGAAGATAATACTCGAAATCCGGATTGCTGCCTAAAACATCTATGAGTAGAACCATTTTCCATAAAGTGAAAAAAGTTAGCTTTTTTAGTTGTTAAACATCATTACAAAAGGTAAAGGGAGTTATAAATAAAATAAGAAAAATAGTTATTGAATTTGTTATTTTAGAAATATATAATATATGGCACAACAGAAAGTACAAGCGATAATTTGTTAGACAAAGGCGAAGTTCAATTTTATGATTTTAAATATTAAATTACAATAAAAAATTAAATCACAGAAAATCACATAAAAATCATCATGATCTTATGTATGATAAATGTGGCTAAAACAACAATGTGACTAATATAGTTGACATTGTGCCATTCGAGAAATGCATTTTCTAAAGTCACTTGTTTCGAGTTTGTCATGTCGATGAGGACACCAAGGTAAGCCAAATGGAACATGGCCAATGCGGTGAACAAATTGTTAACTGTGTGCACAATTAGATTGTTTGTCGTGTTCCTGTGCTTGTGACACGGTGCAGAGCATGACCTAGAACTGACGCAAGCGCTGAATCTGTACGCCAAGTCTGAACGGAACGAGTGTTCGACGTAAGTGTAGACGCCCAAAGAAAGCAATACAGCGGCAAGACGCAGGTTGAGACCGTGGAGAAGTGCGCTTATCAGATACGTCGACATCACAGCCACAAGCGAACCGGCTTGGAGGGTGGTTTTGAAAACATAGGTCTTAAGCCATCTATGAAGCGGTAAATTCCAGTAGACGACGACCTCGACGAGCGAGTGCGGTATCTCAATGCTCATCGGTTTGGACACGTCGATGCGCTTGACGTATCCAGAAAACAACGCGGAAGTCTCGGAAACATACGACACGAAATAGTGGCTGACTCTGAAAGACATGGCGTTCCTATAAATTAACCAAGGCTGGGTAGAGTTGTCTGGGACGACCCACTCGAGAATGCACACAGAGAGCGTGAAGAATATCAGCGATTTTAAAAAGCTCATGAATATCCTGTATATCCACTTTAAGTCCCACTGGTCGTTGTCCAGACAAGCCAGGTAGTCCGAATAGGAGACCCAAGGGCCAAATATGCTCGTACCGGGGCAAAGCGCATACCCGAGGTAGTTTAAAAAGTTAAGTTTCTTCACGCACCCGTTATCCAGATCAAAAGCGTACGAAATTATTTTGATAGCGGTCATCATCTGGGGACCACGGATCCTCTCCCATGTTTGTGATTTGACGAGTGACATCTCTGCGAGGAAGAGGTACGTCAAAAGCCCCGCAGCGATGCAGTAACCCCTGTACCTTCCGAAAGACGACGAGACCTTCTTCAGGGCGAGGTAGCACACGAGGACCATCCCGATGGTATGAAGGCAATGCCCACTGAAGAAAACATAAAGGACGTAAGAGCCCGATACCGCAGAAGCCAAGTGGTAGAACGTGGATGAAAACCTCGCTATCTGAGTCGCCGTTCTGAACAGGAGGCAGACGAGGAAGAGGTGCAGAAGATTGGCGTAGGCGTCGAGCACCGTCGGCTTGAGGCAGTAGCGGAAGACGTCGTAGACGGTCTGACTCTTCATGTAATCCTCCTGCTCGCCCAGGTCGTAGAGGTCCTCCTCGTCCATGAGGTCGAACCCCTCCAAATCCGGACCCAGGTCATCGTACATGTTTCACATCACAGATCGAGTCAGTTTTGCATGATTTGGACGTTGTACGTGTCGTGCCTCGCAAGTCCTGACATGATAGAAGCCGACGGCCGGCCGACAGAAGCCTTCCACGGCTGTAAACATAACCTCCCGCCCTCCTTACCTCGATTTTTCGACCCTTTATCGATTATATTTATTTTATATATTATTTATTATACCTCATAAATGAAAACAAAAATATAATAATTGTTTACTTTTGAAGTAAAGCTTTTGTAAACAATATACAAATGAAGAACATAGAAAACGGCTTATTTCCTTGAAATTTGAATATAATTATTAAGTTAATCCATGGTTAGTCATAATTGACCATATTAATTATTCCAATTAATTATTCTTTTTGTCTAAGGTTTTTGGTTGAGATGAAAAATTAGTGTCATGAGTGGGATAGCTCAAGTCAATGTGGACTAATAAAAAGAAGTAATTACTTCATTAACACTCCCCGTGGCCCCTACATAAGTCGCTAAGAATCAAATTCTGATTACACGACATTTGAAAAATGGCAAAAAGAGGAAAAAGTCAAATGGTTGTAGGCTGAGATGAGAAGTTGCTGTTCGAGGAGATAGAAATCAACATAGCGCAAATAGTTAGGGCAGTGGCGTAGTGAGCCGAAGGTCGTGGGTTCGAATCCCACTTATGAAACTAATTTTTCATCTCAACCAAAAACCGAAGATGAAAAGAATAATTAATATGGACAATTATGACACTATGTAAATATGGATTAATTAATAATTAAAAATAAATAATTACTACACTAACAGCTCCCCGTGGCCACTATATAAGTCACTAAGAATCAAATTCTGATTTACACAACATTTGAAAAATGGCAAAAAGTGGAAAAAGTTAAATGGTTGTAGGTTGAGATGAGGAGTTGGTGTCCGAGGAGATAGAAATCAACATAGTGCAATTGGTTAGGGCAGTGGCGTAGTGAGCCAAAGGTCGTGGGTTCGAATCCCGCTCATGAAACTAATTTTTCATCACAACCAAAAACCATAGATGAAAAGAATAATTAATATGGACAATTATGACACTGCAAATGTGGATTAATTAATAATCAAAAAGAACTAATTACTACACTAACAGCTCCTCGTGGCATAAGTCGCTGAGAATCGAATCCTAATTACACAACATTTGAAAATATGGCAAAAAGATGGCATATTTGAATGGTGGGTTGTAGGTTGAGATGAGGAGTTGGTGTCAGATAGAAATCAATATAGCACAAGTGGTTTGGGCAGTGGCGTATTGAGCCAAAGGTCGTGGGTTTGAATCCTGCTCGTGGCACTAATTTTTCATCTCAACCAAAAACCTTAGATAAAAAGGGTAATTAATATGGTAAATTATGACTACTAAGCAAATATGGATTAATTTATTAATTAAAAAGAAGTAATTACTATACTAACAATTCCCCATGGCCTCTACTTAAGTCACTGAGAATCGAATCCTGATTACACAATATTTGAAAATATGGCAAAAGAAGGAAAAAGTCAAATGGTTGTAGGTTGAAATAAGGAGTTGGTGTCTGAGGAGATAGATATCACTCTAGTGTGCAAGTGGTTTGGGCAATGGCGAAGTGAGCCGAAGGTCGTGGGTTCGAATCCTGTTCGTGACACTAATTTTCATCTCAACCAAAAACCTTATATAAAAATAATAATTAATTGGAATAATTAATATGGTCAGTTATGACGAGCAAATATGGATTAATAATTAAAAATAAGTAATTACTTCACTAACAGTGAAGTGGCCACTTTACAGGTCACTGAGAATAGAATTGTGATTACATGACATTTGAAAATAAGGAAAAAAGAGAGAAAAGTTGAATATTTGTAGTTTGTGATGAGTATTAGTATCTGGCCCTGATGCTAAAAATGCAATACAAAACATGATTAAAAGAGTGGCAGCGTCGGTGGGCCGGATCGGCAGAGAAGCTGTTGCGTATCAAGAGCACTGATCAACATCAGGCTACACTTCCAAGATGTCATCATCAGGGATGGAAAGACAACACCACATCACATTCCAATAGAAGAAATGTTGACTGACATATTGACTGAAGGGCTAGGTACTATGACAGAAGCACAACATCACAGCATGCAAGGGCTGAATATTTTAAAATGTTGTAATAGCTCAGTTCAATGGGAATTGCTGGACAAACACATGTGACAAAACAGTGCCCTAACGGTTTTGTTCACACCATACAATTGGCCTCAATTTTTCAAACATAATTGTAATAATGGTAAACGATACAATCTCTTGATTTGAGGGATGAGATCTGAGATGCAGATAAAACATTTTTTTTAAAGGCTTTGCTACAAAGATAAGTATCGATGAAGTAAAATTTGAATTTAATTTCTGTTTAGCCAATGCAGCAAAAGCCGAAGATTGTCAAAAGAGGTCTGGATGACATCGAAATAGCAGAAGGTGAGCCGGAGCAGGTTGATCATCTTCTACTCGTCGTTCATGGTATAGGAAAAGGGTGCGATTTGCGCTTCAGAACATTGGTCCCAGTTGGTAAGTGTATTTCTTAGGAAAAAATATATCTCTTAAATCATGTAATTTTCTTTTAAAATAGTTGACGATTTTCGGGCGATATCTCTCCAGCTGGTCCAGTCACATTTCAAAACGGCTTCTAATTGCGGAAATGTCGGAAGAATCGAAATCCTGCCGGTGGAGTGGCACAGGGCTTTGCACACTGAAGTGATCGACCAACGTCTGGCCGGTATCACTTTGCCCAGTATACCAAAGGCGAGAGAGTTTACAAATGAGACCCTCCTTGACATATTATTTTATACGAGTCCTGTATTTTGTGAAGTAAGTGAGGGAAAAACTTTATTTGGGATTAACTTTTTCTTTAATTTATTGTGTTTATTTTTTTAGAAAATTGTCCAAGCAGTCGGTGCTGAACTGAACAGAGTGTATAACCTTTATCTTCAAAGAAACCCCAACTTCAAGGGCGGCGTTTCAATCAGCGGACATTCCCTCGGCTCGCTCATACTTTTTGACATGCTCAGCAATCAAAGAACAACCGTTCCCACCCCAGTATCGCAGCAGTCGGCGATACCAGAAGTACGCATTGAAAAATTTAATCGAAAGTAAAATCTGATGTTTTGAATGTGGAATTTTCATCCAGGACGAGGACATGCCTGAATTGGGTTGTTTAAAAACAAAAGCCAAGGTCAGCAGAAGAATGAGTTACCTAACGATCGGATCCACCGGTGCTGGCCAGCCTTACATAGTGTATCCCCAGCTGCATTTTCAACCTCAAGTATTCATTGCATTTGGTTCGCCAATTGGTATGTATATTTGATACTTTTTAGGTTTGGGGGGAATAGTTCCTACACCTTTCTTTAGATATAGAGATATTTATAAATTTCTTAGCTTGCCTCACACCTGCGTTGGACCAATGCCTGAGTTTTTCTATCTCAAATCATTTTTCCAGTTTTAATTTAAGCGTACACACTGGTGTACCAAGTTGTGATTTTTTGGCTAGTTGGTCTACCAGTTCATTTAATTTTATACCTTCATGTCCCTGCATCCACCTCAAGGTAACATTATGTTCTCCTAGGACAGTGTTCGGCAAACTCGTCATCCAAAAGAGCCAAATATAATCAAAAATACAAAATTGAAGTTTATTCAAAGAGCCATTTTTTGCTTTAGTAGACATTTTTATGGAAATAATTAAAATTAAAAGTACAGTCTCGAGCTTGCCTTTGCTGAATATGTCTTAGTTTAACTAACGGTACATTAAATAAAACTTGCTATCATTTTTATATAAAGATAATATTTATTTAAAAATATAACAAGTTAAATAATATAAAAGGTATCCTTAAAAAAACTGCAAATACTCCACTAATGTGAACAGTGGCCTTGCATTTCCCTGGAAAGTAGGGGTAAGTCAAGTTTGCATGTTGTTTTTAATTTTAGGCTTGATTCCAAGTTCTCATTGATAAGCCGATTTCTTAATCTAGTCTTGATAAAGTTCATGCTTGAAAATGATTGTTTGCATAAATATGTAAACCCAAATAAGGAAAGAACAGCAAACGCTACTTTCTTCAGTTGATCATCATCATCCAGGTGTTAAGAATCAACATATCTTCCCTCGTCAGATCTTTCAAAGCAGACCGTTTGTGCTGTAAACTTAATTCACATTTATTTTTCTCCAATAGCTGTAAATTGGTTTAAAGATGCTCGAATTTTGAGCTCCAAAATTCCTTATTTTTAAAATCCAGCAACTGTATTTCAAAGCTGCCAATATCAATATTAAAGGGCAAGAAATTAATTTCTGTTACCGTGGCATTCAGAGGTTTTTTTTTTTTTTTTTTTTTTAAACAAAGGCTTAGCGTCGCTTTGTTGTTTCTAATGTCTTTCAACCTGTAAGCAAATTTCTTCAGGAAACGTCTGCGCACATAGTGCTTCCTGATGAATAATACAATGGTAAGTATCTCGTGATTAATTTTTTCTTTAAAAATAACGACAATCCCATTTCTTGCACCTGTCATACTTTTCGCTCCGTGTCTGCACTAAACATTTAGTGAAAGAGCTGCAGCCAAGAAGTCAAAGCCGCATGAGGCTTGCGATCCGCGGTTTGCCGACCACTGTCCTAGGACAAATAGTAAATTTACTCTCATACTAGTTTGGAGCTAAAATGATCACAAATGGCCAAACAACTCATAATTTAAAAGCCCCTCTATACAGTGGCCTAGTACAAGCTATTGCCATTGGGTGGAGGTTTGGAGGTGCAGTGCCGATGGCATGATAGTATTGGCGAGGGATGGCTTTGAGAGTGGTTTTTCCTCCCACATCAAGGCCCGCCGCAAATTGAACCCAGCCCTCGGACAGCACACGTGTGTTCTGTGAAACGCATTTCCAGGTGATGTAGCGCAAATTGAGCCCATTCCACGTCCAGCCCAGTTTGACTTTGACCACGCGTGGTTCGTTTGCGAGAGCCCCACAGATTTCCTGTCTCCTTCACATCGTAACGTGACGAAAGTTGAATTGAAATTGTGCGGGATAAGCCTGTATTGTATGACACAGTTGCATTAGATCAATGATCTGTACAAGAAACTTTGCCCTCGAGATCGTTACAGCCCCGATAGATAATTCTGATATGTAATTCAGTGGTTAATAAAGTAGTAATGATAAATCAAGTAGTTGTGACTTTTTAGTTTTTTTTCTAACTTACTATCAAAGCACCCTCGAAAATGTTTACTTAAATTTCATCAATTTAAACCTATGAACTAGGTGGATTTGGGAAGTAAATCTAAAATAATACTAGTAATATTATTTAGTATAAGATTAATAACAAACATTCTTACCTGAGGCATACGGTCAATTTTTCTTCACTCCTGAGCGGTTGTTGAGCAAACAGGCCAAAGTCGCTAACTCGCAACTCTCGACTCAACCGAGGCTTCAATTTGGATAAATAAAAAAAAAAAAAAAGATGCTTTTCAAATGTTTTTTTAGACTTAGTATTTCCTTAGTTTTATAAAGGTTTTGTGGATATTTTGACCAAATTTTAAGAAGATTGATACATGAAATCAATTTGAAATAGCAACAGGCCAAAGTCGCTAACTCGCAACTATCGACCCAACCGAGATTACATTGCATCCCCGTAATGTCGTTTTTTTAATTAATTCGTTGAACTGCATTCTGTTTACCTGGAAACAACCCCTAAATACGTTTTCTGGAACTTCCTTACATATCAAATACTCTCCATGAAAACTTCCCGCACCTAGGTGGGCTCTTCTATAATTAAAAAAAAATTTTTTTGATAACAAACACAATAAAGCAAAGTCCTCAGTTTCGGACTAAGATTCTATAGAAGGATTTGCCATAAAGAGGACATTGTTACTGGGTCAGTACTGCGTTCAATGTGCGGTACCTCGACAAAACATGGTGTGTCGTGTGGGAGATGTGTTGGGTGTAGGGCAAGATGTGTGCTGTCCGTGGGCTTTTTTTGCGGCGGGACTTACGGGAACCAGCCAGGTTAAACGAGGCACTCAAGTTTCTACCCCGAGCGTAGATGACCTAAAATGGCCCAGGGACTGATATCATCATTATAGTGGGTCATTGTGTAGTCACCTTTAAATAGAAACATTTAAACTTTGTAGCTTGGTTGTTTCCAATCATTTTGGTCTCCCTATCCATATTATTTTGGTATGTTGAGACACACAGTGTATTATGTTGGGTTTGAATACAGACATTAAGAATAATACAATTAATTAAGGTTTTTAGTTGAGATAAAAAAGTCAATGGCACAAGCGGGATTCAAACCCACGATCTTCGGCTAGATACGCCGCTGCTCTACCACTTGAGATGGGAAGTTAGTGTCCGGGTGGATCGAGGGAGGTCACGATAGCTCAAGTGGTAGAGCAGCGGCGTATCTAGCCGAAGATCGTGGGTTCGAATCCCGCTTGTGCCATTGACTTTTTTATCTCAACTAAAAACCTTAATTAATTGTAATATATTAATTGGTAAAGTGGACCACGAAATTAGTGAAATTAAGAATAATTCTTGCATTTCTTCTTTTGATCAAGATGATCAGACTCAAACCTATGATTAAAGATGCGACTGCAACGCAACTGAGACAAATAATGATTGGAAACGGCCAAACTATAAATCTCCGCACATCCCATAGGGAAATCTCACAGTCTTAATTGTCCAGGGATGTTTGTCACCGTGAGGGGCATTGAGTCGCTTGGCAAGGATTTCAAGTTTCCGACCTGCCAAAGATTTTTCAACATCTTTCACCCCAACGACCCGGTAGCGTACAGAATAGAGCCGTTGATAAGCCCCGAAATGTCCGGTATACCAGCCGTGATGATTCCTCATCACAAAGGGAGGAAGAGGATGCATTTAGAGCTGAAAGAGACGATGGCACACGTGACGGCCGCTTTGAAACAGAAACTCATGGATTCTGTAAGATCGACTTGGAATACAGTCTATCAACTAGCAATGTTCCAGCGGCCTGATTCTTCCCTTCAACATGAAGTCGACAAGGTAGATTATTTAAAATTTTTTATTTAAATTCACCGCCATCACCCTTGACAGATGTTGGCTAAATAATTGGTTCGCTTTAGGTTCTTCAGGATGAGGTTCTCCGAGGTGGAGATGTCTCTTCTCCGACTGGTTCCTTCCAGTTGTCCTTGACCGATGAGCAAGGTTTGGAACTTAGAGTCGGCTCTTTGAACGGTGGAAACCGAATCGACTACGTACTCCAAGAAGCGCCTCTTGAGACCTTCAACCAGTATATATCCGCAGTCAGAAGTCATGTCGTATACTGGCAAGTAATTTTGTTAAAACTTCATTAGTTTGTTACTAACACTTTTTTTTTTAATTCAGGGAGTCGGAAGATACAGTGTTGATGGTGTTAAAAGAGATATACAAGACTATGGGGATTTCTGCAGACGTGCAGTTGCCGCAACAGATCCTACCGTTTGACATTAGTTCAGACGACAACTCAGAATATACGGATAATGTGAATTTTTCACAAAACCAATTTTCGCAAAAATAAGCTGTTTTTCTTTTTTCAATAGTAAATTAATTTTGAAATTATATATTGTTGATATATTTATATTAATGGACAAATAAATATATATTTTTGTGGCTTGTTTTTAATCTTCTACTGTTGTAGTTTCCAATCTCATTGGGTTTCCATTGCGCGAAAAAATCACTCGTGCAACAAAACACGAGAATCACTATGAAAACTATCTCAGGTTAACCATTTCCATGAGGTGAAACAAGGTGAGCATTTGCTATCATGGCATACTTTTTATCTTTGTCCCATTTTGATGCCCATTTCTTTTCATGCATCTTCTCTCGTTCTCGTGACAGTTTTATCTTTGGCATCCCACAAAAATCAGTAGCTGTGATACATTCAGATAAGTCGAATGCAGTCCTCCTGGTACATCCTCATACTCTGATGCAAAAAAAACCTGTATCGGTTGGCTAAACCCAAAACATCCTCGTGCTAAAAGTTTCACAGTCTTGGCTAGGTATTTACAACGTAAGACAAATTTTGGGAAATATTTGCATGAATTTTCATGCAGTGGAAACCCAGCTTTAGGTCATAATCTTTAAATAGTGAAATCATGTCTGCCTATACTCTGTCGGTGTGTTTGATGGATTAAGTCAGGTTTTTTTATAGTTCTAGTTGGTCTTTTCCTTTTTTAATTTTTGTAATGTTTTAATTGGTGTTAACAATGCAAATTATTGTTAATTGTTTTGTTACTTTTGATGATCATTGAACTATAATTGTAATGTTTGTATCGGTGGTGATGTTGATTATTGATCGATGGACCGATAATCCGATTACCACCAATACAAATACCACAAGTTAATTTAAAAAAAAATTAGTTCCTTAAATTCACTAATTTCGTGGTCCGCTTGACCAATTAATATATTACAATTAATTAAGGTTTTTAGTTGAAATAAAAAAGTCAATGGCATGAGCGGGATTTGAACCCACGATCTTCGGCTAGATACGCCGCTGCTCTACCACTTGAGCTATCGTGACCTCGATCCACTCGGACACTAAGTTCCCATCTAAACCTCACCTTTAGAATTTTCCCTCCTTTTTGCCATTTTTCAAATGTTGTGTAATCGGATTGGATTCTCGACGACAAATTGTTGGGATTGTTCGAATCCCGCTCGTGCCATTGCCTTTTTTATCTCAACTAAAAACCTTAATTAATTGTAATATATTAATTGGTCGTGGACCACGAAATTAGTGAATTTAATGATTTAAAATGAAGTGTACTTCACTAAAGCTCTCTGTCACCATGTAATTTGTCGTCGAGAATCAAATCCTGATTACACGTTTGAAAAATGGCAAAAAGGAGGGAAAATTCAAAAGGTGGGGTTGAGATAGGAAGTTGGTGTCTGAGTGGATCGAGGTCACGATAGCTCAAGTGGTAGAGCAGCGGCGTGTCTAGGCAAAGATCGTGGGTTCGAATCCCGCTCGTGCCACTGACTTTTTTATCTCAACTAAAAACCTTAATTAATTGTAAAAATTTTAGTGTTGAATGTGTTTTTATGTATTTCTGTTTTCAAGTATATTTGTTGGTTTATATTTTTATATAAATATAAACAATATATTTTTGTTGGTTGTGTATTAGTTTCATACTTCTGAATTATTTCGTGTTTATTTTTTATTAGTTGTGTAAATGCAGGGCCATTGGGTTCGAACCCAGGACCTTTACCTTATCGTGATGAGTCATCGTGTCAACACCTAAACTGTTGCGGCCACTGACGCTTCCAGTTGTCCTTAAATGTTTTGATATGTTCCTTGTATCTATCTTTTAATTTTTGTCGTGTTATCGTGTATATTCTATTTTAATCTAGTTATCTGTCTTGATATATTCTTAATAATTTTCCTGTTTGTGGTTTTTATGCCTAATTTGTTGAATTTTAATTTGTACATTTCTTTCCCAATGTATGCAGCTGTGGTCCATTTAGTATGTCTGTGTTTTATTTCTTGTGTTCTAGCAGTTATTGTGTGCTATTGTTCTTTTTAGTGAGTTCGGGTTGGTCAGTATTTTGGTGGCGTGTACTTATCTGCATGTGTGGATGTTACGTTCCATCAAGTTTAACAAAGTATGTCTTCAAAATTTTGTAAAAAATTTCTTCAGGTATGGCTGGTGCTGGATTACCCCATTCCTAATCTGTCTGTGTGTACTATTTATCCGTTGAATTTTTTGTTTTTCTAAGGTTTAATCATCATGACCCCATTGTATTTTTTGTTTTTCTAAGATTTAATCATGACCCCATTGAATTTTTTGTTTTTCTAAGGTTTAATCATCATGACCATTAAACGTTTGCACTATAAGAATGAATTTTTATTTGACAAGAACTACAGGAGAGAGGTACTGAAAGAATACAGATTAAACAAAAAACAATATATATTTTATTTTAAATCTAATATTTACAATACATTAAACATTTACAATGAAACAAAATATATTTCTTAAAATAAATATAAAGTTAATTGAACATAATCAATTAAAGTCTAAGTCTTTGTATGGAATGTTTAGACTAGAGTACAATCTATAAACTACGTTATTTTTAATCTACTTCTTCGATGGTGGGCCCAGACTGGTTTTTGTTTGCGGATGGCATTCCAAAATCGCCTCCTGGGTAGCCACCTTGTGAACTTTGGCCTGAATGCAGTTTCGTCATGTACATCGTGAGTTCTTTTTGAAGTTCCGATAGTTTGTGCTCGTATTCTTCTTTTTCAGCGAGGGAGTTGTTGTCGAGCCACCTGATGGCTTCGTCGCACCGCGATTTTACAGTGTCTTTCTCAGACTGGCTAAGTTTGTCTCCGCAATCTTCAGCAGCTTGTTTTGCATTAAACACATAAGCTTCGAGTTGGTTCCTTGCGGAGATCCTTTCCCGTTGTTTGTCATCTTCAGCTTTGTATCTTTCTGCATCATTGACCATCCTGTCGATTTCTTCTTTAGATAGCCTCCCTTTGTCATTTTTTATGACGATGTTCTTGGACTTTCCTGTGTTGTTTTCTTTAGCGGAGACGTTCATAATACCGTTTGCATCCAAATCGAAGGTGACTTCTATTTTAGGCACACCCCTTGGTGCAGGTGGGATGCCCGTGAGATCGAAAGTTCCGAGCAAGTTGTTGTCTTTTGTCATAGCTCTCTCGCCTTCAAACACTTGGATAGTAACTGCCGGTTGATTGTCCGAGTAGGTAGTGAAGGTCTGGCTCTGTTTGCACGGTATCCTTGTATTTCTCTCTATGATTTTGGCCATCACTCCTCCAGCAGTTTCGATACCAAGGGATAAAGGTGCAACATCGACTAACAGCACGTCTTGGATTTGTGAACTTTGATCGCCACTGAGAATCGCCGCTTGAACAGCTGCTCCGTAGGCTACTGCTTCATCAGGATTGATCGACATGTTCAGTGCTTTACCATTGAAGAAATTTTGCAAAAGGGTCTGTATTTTTGGTATCCTCGTTGAACCTCCGACTAATACCACATCGTGTATGGCTCCTTTATCCAACTTGGCGTCTTGTAGGGCTTTTTCTACTGGGAGTAGAGTGGATCTAAAGAGGTCAGAGCAAAGCTCTTCAAACCTCGCTCTGGTGATTTTTGTGTAGAAATCTATGCCTTCATAAAGAGCGTCAATTTCTAACGATGCTTCTGTGCTTGAAGAAAGAGTTCGTTTAGCCCTTTCGGCCGCAGTTCTCAGCCTCCTCAAAGCCCTAGGGCTTTGTTTAAGATCTTTTTTGTACTTTCTTTTGAACTCTTCGGCCAAATGATTTACAAGTCGATTGTCGAAGTCCTCACCTCCTAAATGGGTGTCACCGGCAGTCGATCTCACTTCAAAAAGGGAGCCTTCGTCTATAGTCAGGATCGATACGTCAAAAGTACCTCCTCCTAGATCAAATATTAGTACATTCCTCTCGCCTTTTAAGTTTTTGTCCAATCCATAAGCCAAAGCAGCAGCAGTCGGCTCGTTGATGATCCGCAGTACGTTGACACCGGCGATAGCTCCTGCATCTTTAGTCGCTTGCCTCTGCGAGTCGTTGAAATAAGCTGGTACAGTGATGACTGCATCTTTCACTTTCTTGCCTAGATAAGCCTCCGCTATTTCTTTCATCTTCACCAACACCATCGAGCTTATCTCCTCTGGGGCGAACTTTTTCACCTCGCCTTTGAACTCCACCTGGATCTTGGGCTTGGAAGAATCATTGACGACTTTAAAAGGCCAGTTCTTCATGTCGTCCTGGATCTTTGGGTCGTCAAATTTCCTCCCGATGAGCCTCTTGGCGTCGAAAACCGAGTTCTGGGGATTCATGGCGACTTGGTTTTTTGCCGCATCACCGATGAGACGTTCAGTTTCTGTGAATGCAACATAACTCGGTGTCGTCCTGTTGCCTTGGTCGTTGGCGATGATCTCCACCTTTCCATGCTGCCAAACTCCAACGCAGGAATACGTCGTTCCAAGATCAATTCCAATCGCTGTCATGATTGAAGTTCTTCACAAATTCACTTTTTAATTGAAACTTGTGGCTTTGAAATAAACCGTTCAGAGTACAAACCGTTTGTTGTTTACTATTAAACTGAGCCAAGGCTGGATTTCGTCATTTATATAGGAAAACAAAGGTTCTAGGTGATTCTAGAACGTTTCGCGGTTCGTGATTGGTCGACTCCATCCCTTCTCTTACCCGCTACGGGAATATTACGGAGTGTTCTAGAATCATGATTCGTTTATCCCAAAATAGATTCCTTGTTGCACAATATGTACGGTTTTTTAACCGTTACATTTTAAAAATAAACAAATGTACATCGTTGATAAACATTGTTAAATATATTTGACGGAACGTAGGAATTTGACATTCGTCCAAAATTGAACGAAATCTGCCGTGAAGACCTTCAACTCCACAGACTTGATCGACTTTTTAATTGAACGAAATCTGTCGTTAGTACTACTTTCGTTTTCCCAAAATAGGTCATAGGTACTACAAAGTCGTTCTTCTAAAATTGAACGAAATCTGTCGTGAAAGATTTAGACTCCACAGTCGGTCGCCAAAAATTGAACGAATGCTGTCGTGATGGCGTTCTGTACAAAGTCGTGCGACTAAAATTGAACGAAATCTGTCGAGTAGGACTTCTTTGACTCCACAGTCGGTCGACTAAAATTGAACGAAATCCGTCATGAAGACTTTTGTTTCCAAAAAGTCTTTCGACTAAAATTGAGTGAAATCTGTCGTGAAGACCTTCGGTTCAACAAAGTCGTTCTTCTAAAATTGAACGAAATCTGTCGTGAAAGATTTAGACTCCACAGTCGGTCGCCTAAAATTGAACGAATGCTGCCGTGATGGCGTTCTGTACAAAGTCGTGCGACTAAAACTGAACGAAATCTGTTGTGAAGACCTTTGGTTCAAAAAAATCGTTTGACTAAAACTGAACGAAATCTGTCTTGAAGACTTTTGGTTAAAAAAAGTCGTTCGACTAAAATTGAGGGTAATCTGTCGTGAAGGACCAGTTGAAATATGAATTGAAACGTCGTCATCTCAGCTGTTTCTGTTCAAATGTTACACTAAGCATGTATATTTTTTGTTTTTGTTTATAAATTGTTAAAAGACAAAAATGAGCCTCAAGTGGAACTGTGATGTTAAATTTGTAAAAACACTACTGCCTTTGAAATTGTCCGCCTTATTATTGTAAAATTACGTTTGCCTTTTGCGTCGGATTACCAGACCATGCTATGCTGCATCTTTGGGTCAGAAGTGTCCACATTTATGATCGCTGCAAAGGATACGATTGCTAAACAAAACATTAGAATTTTATCACAAGCATTACCTCCTTTGTAATCTCCGAATTTAAATAAAAATACAAAGAAAATGCTTTAGTTCTCTTGACAAAGTAAGTCAAGTTACTGCGAAAAGACTATCAACATTTTTCATTACTATTTTATCTAATCTATTTTCCTTTGTCGATCGGTCAAAAAATAATTATACATTGTGTGTCAATAGCGTGAATTGAAGTAGGGGTAAAGCCAGCTGACATACACATTTTATGTATATCACGGAGGATAACGGCAATAAAACTAGCCAAATATATTTGTTTATTGCTTTCTATTTAAAAGTTTTATTAATGGCTTAAAACGAATCAGATTTTTAAAAAAGTTTTTTTTTTTGCTTAATTTACTGAAAGTGTTTTGGGTTTGGTACCTTTTTATTTATCAAATTTCATTAATTACGAACTTACGTATTAGCTTGTTTTTGTGTTGATTTCATGCTAATCTTTTGTTGCACAAACTGATTAGATTGTACAATTCTGTTTTCCAAGAGGAAAATTTTTTTAATATTAAAATCATGACTAAATATAGCGTAGATGGATTTTAAATTGTACTAAATCAAGTCAAAGGGCTTTTTGCTATTAGACAAGGTCCGAGATATTAAGTCAGATGAACTATTTTTAAATTATATACGAATTAATAATAATTGTAGACAATTTTTTAAGCGAATGTGTGTACTTGGAAGCCTGTAAAGCCTAAAACGCACATTGTACTTGAATGGGCGCGATGACCCTGAAGACCAAGGCTCAACTTTCTTCCTCCGCTATTCAAAATTTGAATAAGGCGAAGTTTTCTATTGACAAGCCCTGTGAAGAATAAACAAAGATTTTGACAGGGGCGAAAACAACAATTAACTTGATTTTTTATTAATTTTTATTTTACTAAAATACTAACTAAGCTTCTACGCCGAAACTGGCTGGAACGGACCCGGGACTCGAACACACCACGAAACGTTGCGCAACACTTCGATTCTTGAATTTCATGGAAGACGAGAACTATCGTACTTTGAATAATTGGTTAATATTTGGTCATATGATTAATGGAAATAGTCTCCCATTTTCTAGCTGAAATTAATTTCTAGATGTATACTGTGTGTTTCATTTTTCGGCGCAACCACAAAAAATACCCGAAAATTGGAATAATGTTGATGACAGAACTGTTATTCAGGGTCACAGAAACACCAACTATTTGTGGGATAAGGCGCGCAAGGAGCGATAGTGATGCAATACGAATCGATCTTTAGTCGCCCGATACGACTTTTATCGGCGCAACACTCTCGTGCCCACGGCAGCGATGTGATAAGCGATACGATACATACCATAGTATCTTTTTACAGTACACTGTTACGGGTGCTGATGAATTAGTATTACGGGCAGACTTTCCTTTGGTGTTACAAAAATTGATAGAATATTTAGAAATGTATTGTGACTGCTGGAAATTTAAAGTTAATACCTCTAAATCAAAAATTATGATATTTAAAAAAAATAAACGTGATTTACGACCAAACGTAAGATGGAAATTTAAAAATAAAATTTTAGAAATAGTTGAAATTTTGGGGTATAAAGAATATATAGATTTAGAAAAATTTCAACGGTTCACTGCAAACATAATATTATCTCTTCCCAACAATACGCCAAATTATGCAATCTATTTACAAACTAATACGTCGTTTATTTCTTTTTAAGTTTAAATTGTATTCCACCATTATTGCCAAAGCATTCAATGATCATAAGAAGCTGGCTATTTTGATTACTCGTGAAAGTGTGAGGTTAAAGACTGGGTTGGATTAAGGTCTGGTTGGAAAGAGCGCAGGAACTCGAAATCCCCACGGATTTAAACAGATTCAGTGCCGAACATAAGTGGCCTAGCTGTAACATTTTTGGAGAAGCTCAGGTTGAGGGAAAGGGACAGTTTATTGGTCAATGTATCCGCATCAAGATTCCACCTGTACTACAAACAGTTACGTCATGATCTAGTTTATCATCAACCATTAGTATAAATAAGCTAGCTTATTTTTTAAATTAAAAACAGAAATGACCAACTTTAATTATCAACCCTGGAACAAAATTAAAATTAACTTTGTACAATGCAACTACAATGCTAATGAAACTGTGCATTTTCTAGTGTAATGCCCTTTCCTGGAGAATTTAATTTAATTTATACAACCTGAGATCTTTGTCACGTGATCAGTGTTTAGCCATTTTCAATGGAGACAAATGGAATGATTTTTATTCGTATACCACTACTGCTTTAAAATACAGAGAGTTTTTGGTGGATGAATTTAATTTTAATTAATATTCATTTGATTAAAAATAATGTTTTACTTAATTTTAATGTTTACTTTCGTGTTTGTCATTTATTTGCAGATGTAAACTCGATAGACGGACTCTAGTCCATTGTTGTTACCATGATCTCTATTCTTAGTAATAGTACCTTTTTAGGCAATTGTAATCATGAGCTATTGCTTGCTGGTACTTAAGTCAGGGAAATAAAAAACGAAAAAATATTGGGTACACCAATGTAATGTTAATATTTTCAGTTTCGGCTATTGTGCTATTTTATTCCATGCTAAATTAAATTAGTTCTTGAATAACTTTTCACAGAATAGTTCCATAAACATGGATTCTGTTCAGCTATTTTGCCAAAAGAAATAGAGACGTCCTCCTGTTGAGTCGATATGATTCACTGACGAGTAGCGAAGATATATCTATCGCCTGAAGCGATTGAAAAGCTGTGTCGCCCCAACCGATACCCGTCGATAATTATCGTCATTGCATCGTAATCGCGCTGGTGTACACTGGTTTAGTTGCTTAGGCAAGGAATATACGTGGTAAGCGATACGGTGTCGAATTGCATATCGCATCACTTGTCGTATCGCGTATTGCATCGCTCCTGTGAGCACCGCGCCTATAGTTCACTCTCACTTAACAGTTCAAAGTAGATTAACACTCAGTTTAAAATACTACATTATTATTATTTTTTGTTGTACGTTACAAATATATGTGTTAATTTTCGTTGCAATTGACAGTTTCCAACTATGGTCAAGTTGGGATTCGGAATAAACGAACAATTTCCCGGATGAGTCATAGTTTAATTGTAGTTCGGTCACTTACGATCAGGCAAGTCTCGCTAATTTTACGAGTTTCACTCACACAAGAGCAACTGAAAATGGTGACAAGCTAAAACTAGTCTGGCAAAGAAAAAAAGCAAGACTGAACGAACGAGGATAATCAGAAACGTCCAAACTAGTCAAACAGCCCACATATCACGAAGAAATCTCACTATTTATTTTTGAACAAACCATATACGGTTATTGAGCTATTTATTTTTTATAAAAGCAGTAGGTACTAATTGATAATTTCAACAAACCCACCACTGAAGAAGGCGAGAAGCCAAAACCTGTCTGACAGACCAAGCCAGGGTATGCGGACCCTGGATCGAAAACGATCAAACTGTCGAGTCTAACATCCCACAGAACCACAGGACATGAAGAAATCAAACAATTTAATTTCGAACCTACAAATTTTTGGGTTAATTATTTTTTATAAAAGCAGTAGGTTTTTAATTTTTTCATTCAACGAACCCACTACGGGGACCGCGGTAGCCGAGTGGTTAGCATGAGAGACTCTCACGCCGCGGTCGTGGGTTCGATTCCCACCGTCGCCTCTGGCCCTTTTTTCACAATAACCCCCCCCCAAATTTGAACACACATACGAATTGTCACATGGCTAATATGCATAGTTCATAACGCCAAAAAAAAAAAAAAAAAAAAAAAAAAAAAAAAAAAAAAAAAACCCACTACTGAA